AGACGACCTAACACGCGAAGTGAACCAAGTTAGTTTTAAGAACATACATATCTTTCCAAATCATATTAATCACAGTCATCACAGGTAGATTGCTCAAAAAAGGCATGTTAGAAACTTTATACAAAAAGCATCCCCTCAACTCTATCTTCCATAACTAGAATTTCGAGAATAAGAAAACGTACTTTGACAATCTGATCAGTTCGTGTCCTAATATAAAGGCCAGCACCACTGTCAGGGCAAGGTATTTCAGCAGCATCTCTCGTAAACATGGCACAGGTCAGACCTGTACATCAAATTGAAGCAAAAATTAAGCACAATGAAAGAGTCCCAACTAATAATCAAGACATTCTAATTAAACACGATCACCTGTCAGTGAACCATGGTCTGTATGCCATCCACACCAAGAAGACATGTCTCTATTATCTTCAGTAGGATTACTGCAGGTTGTAATTTACTTGTTAATATAATACCTCTGGCAGCCAAAAGATTGCATACGGCAGTATAATTTATTCTTTTAAACCCTTTTCACCATCAAATATCATTTTTAGTCTTGTTCTCTGGCCATAGATGATTATGCCTAGTGCATTTCCTTTATGGTAACATGGGCTCATAAAAGAAGAGAACCTTTCCTTTATCTTGTATTACAACATAGCAAAATGATTGACCCAAAATACTACCAAACCTGAGAGACGAATTTGAACTTGCAACTAACTGCTCAATTATCACCTATGGAAAAAATGACGATATATAATGTAATCACCTTTCTTTTGTTGGAAAATAATAAAGTAGACGCCCTTTATGACAGCGAGATCGAAACAGTATTTGTTCAAGGCCTTCATCCTCGCGCATTTTGATTGCTTTTGACACTGTTAAGGCACCCATTAAAATTTGAAAGGGCTACCACAGATCAACAACTATACAATAAGGAAAAGTAACATCAAAGCTAAATAAGCAAGCACAACAGTTGAAGAAGAGTATGGCATTTTGTTTGGCCACGGCTGTGGAAAATGTCAATATCATTTAGTTGTAAGGTGAGAAGCATTCCTTATCCTTTCTGTACGAGAGACAATAAATTTAAAGTTCTTGTGATGAAATCATGTAAAACATTCAGAAATCTTGATTTAACCCCTTCTCAAGATAATAGGTTGTGTCATCTCAACTTATATCTTAGGTCTTATGAGTGCTCGTAATACACTAATATGACACTTGTTTTCTGGCCAGGACAGAACAAAATCATGCAGGAAATTGTCATGACAAGTTAAGTGTAAAATGTGACCGGAAAAACACTAAACAGGATAGCTATGCTCTCTTAGTGTAAACCTTAACAACAAAGACTATACCGTATCTGTCACAGTGATATGCGACCATAAGCCCAACTCCAAGGATCAGCTTTCCAAGAGCTTTGAAGGCTACAAATCAAAAGTTACATGCAGTGATGACATAATCATGAAAAAATACAATCATAAATTGAAGGAAAACATACCGACTTCTAGTTCTGGCAATTCACTATTGGGCCATATATTTGAACCACAGTATGATGGATACCTACAATACAGATCACAAATAAAATCTGAGCAGACACAAAGTATTATGTTCTGTTTACGCAAAATCTGTAAGTTCTCACATAGGATAAATAAAAATAAACATATCCCAGCATAAAGACGATTTGTCCTGGTTAATTCTAAGAAACCTTGTATCAAATGCATGGTAGTTATTCATAACTAACACAAACAACAGTTTGGCCAAACATTACTGGTCTGAGCCATGTACTGTGTAACCTCAGACAAAACAGATCCCACTTGTACTCAGATTGTGATTGATGTCCCTATAGACTTTTACCTCTGAATCAGAGATTCATCTGTTGTAGGGCTATCCAATATTGGATTTGCATAAAACGAGCCTTTTAACGTATCTGCAAAACCAGAACACAGACAGAAAATGAATGGTCCTAAGTTCTTAGAGTTTCTAAGGAAACAAAATTTAAAACAAAGAACATAAAGTGATACCAGGCTTTCCAGATTCCAGCTTCTCTTTTCCATGACTCCATCCAAAATTGTACCTAAACATGGAAGGCAGGTAAAAAGAAGATAAGCAATAAAACTTTGTAAAGATTCCCAAGAAAAGTAATAAAACTACGTAAATATTAGTTAATAATGTCAAGACCATAGTCTGTGACAAATCCAAGAGTTGAGATGAGACTATCTTTCTGGCAGGAATTTTTGGAATTTTTCTCTATTGTAAGGAAAACATAGATTGAAGTTTGTGTTTACACGAAAATTATGCCAATGGCTTAAGAGAAATCAAAGTATAACAATGGAACTAAAATGACTTACCTACTATGAGGATCTTCAAGTTCCTTCTTCACCTCTTCGGGCAGATTGGCTAATCTAATAAACGAAAAGAAAACTCCCATGAGCAGTGCTATAACAAACTATCTTCCTAAATTCATTATGAATTGCAGTTAAAACTTAAAGTGAACATGAAAATCCTATGTAGAAGGGATATACCTAGGTGACAAGCGTAGAAGATTCCCGCGCAAGGAAGAATATCCCGGAACCTGCACTTGGAAATTCAATGAAACAATTACAAAGATGCTAGAAAGAAAATACTTATCAGTTTACAACAAAACGCTAGCTCTCACGAGAATCGATTAGGGATGAAGCATCAAAACAATAACATGAGACAGCATAATTTATGAGCTGTGAATGGAATAATGGAGCAAAATATCGTTGCCCAAACAGCACAATCTACAATCTACATGACGGAGAAAGTACCCCGACAATACATATGCAAGTTCATGTGGTTTATCTTTTTAATCGATTCGTTTACAAATTATTTCTGCACATATAGTTTCAACCCGAAACCAAAAATTCCATTGTCAAACAAATATGCATAATGGCAGAACTAAGTAAAAAACAACATATCACCATACTGATACTGATGTGATTCAGAATTAAGCATTTTAACTTACCAAAACTGGTAATGGAAGAGATAATCAGTAATTAACAAGGTAATCGCATAACGAAATCATACTTGAGTGATTGATAGGATTCCCAACCCATTTGGTCCAAATCCTTCTTCAATCTTCACTGACAAGTTTTTGTCCTTGTCCTGTATCAATCAAACCAAAATCAAAAGACGATAATTAGAAAAATCGAATTCTCGACATGATCAACTGAGTTAAAACATAGCAATTAAACAAAACTATGAATAAAACAATTAGATTCTGTTTGGTTGATGAGAAAATGAAAAGAATAACAACCAAAAAGTCAACTGAAACAGAATTTTGCTCTAATTTCAACGAATTCTCTTGAGTTTCTGAGCAACCAAACAGAAAAAAAAATTAAAGCCAATCAAACCAAACTCTCATGCTCAATTTTCTCGCTACCACAAACGGAACTTAGAGGGAGAGAGAGAGTTACTTGGAGCTCGGAGTAGGATATGGTGACTGGTGTGACGGTGGGGACGGCGGGGTCGGAAGACGGAGGCATGGTTCGACAAGAAATTTGGCGGGAAAGACGGCGGTTGGACTGTGACGGTGGGGAAGAATCCGTGGGAACGAAGAGGAATTTTGGTGCGGGAGGAGGCTTTTTATATAGGAGGGAGGGAGAGAGGCTGAGAGCGAAAGGCGTGATCGTCAATTTCAAATTTTATTTAAGGAATAAAGAAGGAAAAGAGGTTGAGCATCAATTCCATTTCCCTCCAAACCGAAGAATAGATTCACGATCACGAATATATTAAAGGATTTACTGTTTATTTTTTACGAAAATCATATTTTTACTCTTTTCTGGTACTATTCATCACATCTTTATTTGTCATTTTTTATTAAAACTAAAGTTTTTTTGAACTTTTTGTTAGTTTTCTTTATATTAAATACGTATAAGTATTAGTTAAATTTAAAATTAATTGTGTAGTATTAAGGATTTGTTTAAAAGTGTTTTTAAAATGACTGAAAGCGTTTTTGGCTAAAATGTTTTTTAAATCAATCCTTAGTAAAACCAAGTGGATCCTAAAAAAGCAATTGAGGTACTTTCTGCAAAAAACACATATCTTGAGCACTTGAAGTGTTTTTAGAATCCAAAATCAATTTAATAAAAGTGTGTCTAGTTTTTTTATTTTTGAACAAACGATATTATCTACGTTAAGGTAGAGTTCAATCTCACAATGGGCTAGCACATTAATAATGTGGTTCAAATTCGCCTTTGACGAGAATCGAATTTAAAACATCATACTTACAAGTGAGAAGGAATACCCTAAATCGTAATACTAAGTAATGTGTTTAGTCATAGTCATTTTTAAACGACTTTAAAAGGAGCCCTAATTTGTATCAAATTCAAAAAATTTAAATTGGCCGGATGTAATATGTATTGGGTCTTTCCTCATTCAATAATATTTACGTTGTTCTCGGCCAAAAAAAAAAAGAATTCATGGAAAAAATAACAAAATGGGTTACGTTACTAAGTTAGATAGTATAATTAAGGTTGTTATTAATTATCAATTCATGTATTTCTACATGTGTTACGTTACTAAGTTAGATAGTAAAAAATACATATTAAACGTCATGAGAATATGCGTGGCTGTCAAGCCAGACATGTGAATAGCATGCTCAACTACTGTATTGCTATGAGGATTTTATCCAAAATCAACAATGAGTGAATAAGTTGAAGGATTATGCACGACTTTAATTATGCAACAAGTGAAGAGGCAATTTTCGCCAACCCTGACACGACAAGTTTCACTTCTTGTTCATTTTCTTGACGAAACAGTCACATTTACCCTTACGGCACGGCATTGTTCCAAGCATACGGAGGGCGGCTGACAATGATTGCGATAATGTGTTTTTCTACGGGGAGAACATACAGCAGTTATCTTTTCACAACCATCTTCAGTATTTATCAAGGACAAACAAATGTAGAAAAGAAGAAATATCGAAGTTGGTTGACAAAAGGGGACGAAAAATTGAGAGATACAGAGAAGAAGAGAAGAAGATAAGAAGAAACTCGATGCAAATTTTAAGCTAGATTAGTCATTTTTCATTAACGAGCGATACAGAGGAGAAGAAACAGCTGCATTTGTAGATAGCTGCTTTAGTTGCCTAGTTTGTAACATTAGCATTCTGTAATTCCAAGGAAGAAACAGGAGTGAAAAAAACCACAATCAGGCAGTACCAAAGAAGAAAAATGTACAATTAGGAACAATCGCCACTTCTCAAACTTTGTAGTAGATCCAGGTATCCAAAGGACTCGGGGCTAATGTACCTGCATTAACAAGAAACAAAGATCAGATTTGTGGAAGGGAGTCGCATAGCAGTTAAAACACTCGGTCGTGCGTGAATGATTTGAGATACCAACATAGAGGCATCCTCCAGGTGTGAGTTTCTCTCGTATCGGATCACTTATTGTAAGAATATCAGTAGTGAAAGTGAAATACCTGTGTCGGGATTGAAACATTGTGTCCTCCGTATGATGCTTGCAACATGCATCACCAAATCAACTTGAAGCTCTCCACCTCTCCATCTGTTAAATGTTTCATAAGCAGCATTGTTAAAGTTCTCTCTGTTTGTGGGCATATTGCAGATGGTTTTATATGAAGAAAGGCAAAAATTCATGCTGAAGGCATAGTTTACAACTAGTATTTTTAAAAGCTAAGCTCTAAAGGTCTCACCTAGATTCTTTGGCACAAATAGCTAAGTTTTGAGATGGGACAAAATGGGTCCCAGGACCCACATACAGTGCATCCGATAGTGTTGAAATCCTTTTCCCAGTAAGTCAAAGATAAGCACCAAGAAAGACATGACAGTGTTAAAACAAATACAGAACTAAGAATTGATGCATGAAGCAAACAGAGAAATGGTACAGGCCATTCTCTTTATATTCTTATAATCTAAACAGTTTCTCCTTATCAACGCTGGAAAAACAGCTTGCTTCAGTCATTGCCGCTATACATGAAAACCCAACATCCGGGAACAAACAAATTACATTCTCTGGCATAGCAAGAACAGTCCTGTGAAATGTATCCATACAAAATTAGACACAAAAAATTCAAAACGGCAATGTAATTTACAACATTGACAATCTCTGTCTGACAAGGCAATAATACCTCTGTAATGATCCGGTAGCGACCATGACCTGATAGGCCAGCACTAAAGCCCATTGTTATGCCATATCCATGAAGCTTATATAGGGCTTCTTGTACTTGGAGATTTTGCATATTAGAGAATACTCGGCAGTGAATACCTGAAAAACGTGCAGCACAAATATCATACTGGTAGCCTCTCAATCTTAAGAAATGGTAGCTTAGAAAAGATATGAATCCTGTCCAACCAATACAAATCATATTACCCAAGTTCAAGCAAAATCAAGACTAAAAAAATGATCAAATGTTGTAGGTTGCCCGAGAATGTCAAAAATGAAATTCCAAAAGAAAAAAAAATAATTGTATGTATTGAACATTAATAAATACATGCTGAAAACACAATCTTAGCGGCAATTTATGACATTTATACGAGATTGAATAGCCAAAGCAATTAAAGAAGTAGCAGAACTCATATAAGTGATTTTCACTTTGAACTTTTAGGCTTATCAACAAATACATTATTAAGATTCTAATGCATTAATTTTTTGGCGGTTGGTTTTTGGCTGTGATCTGCTTCACATCACCCCCTGCAGGTAAACTAAATCTGGGTATTACTTATCAATGAATCAACATGCCAACTTAACGGACACCATCTATCTCCATATGGCAAAAAAAAAACAACACAAAAAGGAACAATGAAGTGAAACAATAAACAACATGACATGAAACAGCACGAACATCAAAGACAAACAATCTATCACGTAAGCACCTAAACAAGAAACAACTTTAGTACAAAGCAAAGCGTAATGTAGAAACCTTCGGCACAAGAGGTGTGTTTTTGTCCTTTTGAATTTCGGCAATAACCACTTTAATGTCCTTTCCTGCATTTACCATGATTGGTCACTCTCAAAACCTTACCTAAGAGACCCATAAACAAAAATAACCGCCAAAAGAGCTAAACATACATATTTAGAAAAACTTATTCAACTACATGCTAAAATGGAAGTGTAAAATTGCCAGGAAAGATAAGAAACTATTCAAATACGAGTTCTAGGCGTTACCGCCACAAAAGGCACGAGCCGAGCGGCTATCAACAAGAACACACTTCACATTTGGGTGAGATTCCCATTCATCCAGATAGCTCTTGTATTTCACATCCATATCTGCGTTTTCCAACAATTCCCACTTAAACAGAAACACAAAATTCTTCGAAAAAAAGCTAACTTCTTCGAAATTGGAATCCAACGTTTCGTCTTATAACAAATGCAATAACAAAGATTTGTAATCAATACGATGCCATAAAGTTCAAGCTCAAAAATTCAAAACAGCTCCAAATCAAAAGCATTTACAGATACATACATTATAACATATGCTGTGTGCGTGTTTATCTACATACCTAGGCTCATGGCGTTGAGAGCTCGGGGGGCGACCGAGGGTGATGACGGCGACACCAATTGGGTGGACGCTGCCCTTGACGAAAGCGTCGGCGGAGGCCATGATCCCGAAGGTGCGGAGGAGGCGAGGGGATTTGGAGGGTTTCTAAAGAGAGAGCTTCGAATTTGGATTGGGGAAGAAGAAAGCGGACGACGATTTGCCCAGAATTTCGTCCGCTCCGCCCAATAATTCCGTTTGAGAGTGACAGTGTCGGTGTAGAAAGCGAGAGGGATATTTTTGGTGCTTCTGGACCGAACTACCCTTCATATTTCGGTTAAATTACCAGGAAAAAGAACCGCCGCAGTGGCTACGTAGGAAAACTTGAAATTTGAAAGGAGTGAAGTATGGACCTGCCTTCATTTATTGAACTGAGAAATCGAAAACTGAAAGAGGCGTTTGACGAACTGATTGTGAACTGACTCAAGTATGTAATGATGACGATGCATCACCACCTTGGTTGTGCCTTTGGATAAAAAGCCTACCATCAAGATCAAAATCGTGCATATTTTCCTTCATAGGTTTGTCCCATACTAGATTAACCCCTATTCCCTTAATTGTCACACAAGAAAATTTATGGTATATCTTCGGCATTTCAAAAGTTATATCAACTTTATCCCCGCTTTGCAAATTGAGCTTATCGTTCGATATTTGTCCTTGCCAAAGAAAACATTTTTCAGATACAACATCGCGCATTTTTATAACCCAATCTTTCTTACCTATGCAGGTTTGCAACTCAGTACGCTTGGTATTATTTATATCAATATTGGCACGAGGATGACCTTCCTTACAACCGATATCAGAGATTGACACATAAGGATAAGCAGCATTAGGAATTGTGCAGTAAAAGCACAACAGAGTCAACCCTTCAAAATTACGACCATCACTCGGGGGGATATCAAAACTGACTTTATTACCATCGTTGACAAACTCGAACCAATCAGGAACATAATTCCCATTGAGAAAAATGCCACCATATCCGCAAGAAGTCCATCCCTATATATACAGTGCAAGTGTCATATCCATACATACATACATGTACATGTGCGTTGTGTGTGCATGTGCGCAATAGGAAGACAATTAAAGAGAGAGAGATACCTTTAGGACGTTCCTCATAAAATCAGCTGTGAGTTTGGGGCAACCCCTCATATCAATCCATGTCATGGAGTTTAATGACTTATCCAAGTCTGGAACCTCAGTGAGTGAACGTGAATTACGTGCATTCAGTTCTCTCATATTCGACATTTTCGAAAAATTGGGCATTGTTACCAAAGAGTAGCAACCAGACGCATCCAGAAATTTCAAATTTGTTGGTAAATCATAGATTGTATGAAGGCTGAAGCAATTATTTAACCAGAGACTTTCAAGCTTTGAAAGATCACTGAGGCTGGGTAGGGTATGAAGGACATCGTAGTAACTTAACCGCAAACTTTCAAGATTTGAAAGACCACTAAGGCCGGGTAGGGTATGAAAATCATTCTCTGAGAGATCTAAATTTCTTGAAGAGTCTAAGCCGTGTAACGAATCGGGAAATTGCAAAGGAAACTGCATGTGCGCTAGACACAAATGAGTGAGATTCTTCAATCTTACTGTGGAACGCGGTACTCGTCTTATGGCTGTCTTAGATGCTTTAAGTACCCTCAATGATATCATCTTCCCCAAATCCTCGGGCAGTACACTGAATTGAAAACATTGATCAAGAACAAGAGTCTGAACGGATTCGGACTTGTAGAAATCCCCAGGAAGAGAAATAAGACTGTAGCAGCTTTTGAGGTTCACCAAAGAAAGTTTTTTAAGATGACCAATGGAGGGGTGAATCTCGCGCAAACTCTCACATCCTTCCAATATCAACTCTTCAAGATTTGGGACATTTGAAAAGTCTGGTGATTTTGTTAGGTGAATGCAACAACTGAGATCAAGGATTTTCAAGTTTCCAAGCGACTGGTGCACAAAATCAAAGGAAAATTAAAATTAATATCCCAAAGGAATATCTCATTAAAAAAAAGTGAGAAGGAAATCCGAAAAAACATAGAAACATAACATCATCATGTGTAATCGATTGTACCTTGGAGCCCTCCCAAACTTGTACCAGTTTGCCAAACTTCATCTCTAAAATGACTAGCCTTGGTTGATCAAAAAAGTCATCTGGTATGGACTTTAGAGGGCATCCTGTCCAACACAGCCACACTAACTCTTTGGGGAGACGTTTGTATTCTCCATTGAGCTGCACGTTGCAGAGCTTGAGCAGTCTCAGTTTCTTCATATTGGCAAATGCTTCTGTACTGAAACTAGGCATGTTAGAGCTTTGAAGACTAGAATAAGGGACAAGTCCTTCAACTTCTTCAGTTCCCTGTTAACAAAAGGTTATATTCATGTGTAAGAAACGGATTATTTGCATATGTTTACATGTATGAATACATGCAAGTACTATTGTTGGCTAATTGAGATGAATGTTACTTAATGTATAATAGACATCCGTGAGTTATATGTGCTTTTCTTGTACAATGCATTAACACAAAATTTTATTGGAAATCTACTTACAGATTTATTTGTTAAGACATCAGCGACCTCTTGCGGGTTCCACAACCTACTCCATTCACCAGGGTGATGAGGGAATTTTTCAGAAATGATTAATTTGGCCATTTCTCGAAGCAAATCATGCATATTCAACCTGTTGTCTTCAACAGTTATAAGGCATCGTTCACGGAGGTCACTGATTCCTATTGTTGCAAAAAAGTTACATCCATCTAATATTTTTACGACATAGTCCTTATCCCATCCAATAAAGAAACAAGATATGTCAAGGAATATATCCTTCTGTGTACGATCTAGCCTTTCAAAACTTGCTCTTAGAGCTTTCATTATTCCTTCATCAGGAAATTTTTTCAACTTCTCCAACTGACTTTTCCACTCCATTGGGGTTCTTTCAATCATGGAAGAACCTAAAACTTCAAGGGCTAGTGGCAAACCACCACAGTAAGAAACAACCTCCTTTGAGAGTTCAAGATATCCTTTATCAGGACAACCATTTCCAAAGGCATGCAAACTAAAGAGCTTTAGAGCTTCTTCTTCATTCATTTCCTTAAGCGGATATGTCTTGTCCACTTTCATGTTCACTTGCTTTAGTAAACGTTCATCTCGTGTCGTTATGATAATTCTACTTCCTGGGCCAAACCAATCACGATTTCCAGCTATTGCATTTAGTTGTTCCACTTTGTCTACATTGTCAATAATGACAAGTACGCTTCTACGTTGGAGATGATTTTTTATCAGACTGATACCTCCATCAACACTGGTTACCTTAGACCCGGTCTGTTTCAAGATGTCAGAAACAAGTTTTCCTTGCAAATCAACCAGATCATATTCACTAACGTTGGCAAGGAAACTTTTGAATTGGAACTTATGATGAATTTGGTTATAAATGGATTTGGCAGCTGTTGTTTTACCCAATCCACCCATCCCCCAAATTCCAACCATGCGAACAACATCTGATCCACCATTTGAAAGATAAGTGATGATATCTTGAATGCGAGTATATATTCCAACTGGGTGCTTGGCCACATGTAATTTTTCTGCACTAGGAAGCCATTCCGGGATAATCTTGTCAACAATTTCTCTAATAAGCTTTGCTTCGCGCCTGAAATATTGAATTGGTAAGCTTAGTAAGTAGGCTCAGTAGGAGCTATTAGTACTAATATAAATAATTTTCTTGCCTTCTTTCCTTCGTGTGTGTGTGTGTGTGTGTGTATGTACACAAACTAGCTACTAGCTAGTATGTAATTTTGTGACCAACTTCAATAAAAGAAACAAATTCATTCATGGATATATTAAAGTTTGGTGTATCAATTAAACTCCAATTAAGATTCAAGAAATTTGTCGGATGCGGGTTTGAGGTTCGGGTGAAAGCTGTGGTCCGTGGGCTACAGGTTGGGGTCGGCTGGGGAGTGGGGATTAGGGATTGGGGGTTGGAAGTGGGAGGTTGACGGGGTGTGAATCAAAGATTGAAGGTGAAGGGGTGGGCTGCGAGCCTGCGAGTGATGGGGGGATAAGGTTGGCCTACAATTTTATAAAGATACATAGGTGAAACTAACATGTAAAGTTGTAAACACTTCTAACTAAAATTTAAAAGAATTGGTTACAAAGGACTAACGCTCCATATTTTATCAAGTTCAAGCACAAAATGTAATGAATTTTAAGTTTAGGAACCAAAGCGACAATTTTCCTCTAGATTTTATATGAGAGATTAAGGCGTATTAATTAAGCATGTTAATTAGAGTAATACAACTTAAGTATTGAAAAGTACGTGAATGATTACCTATTATCAGTGATTTGAAGATGGTAGCCAGACAAATTTGCAGCTTTTGTAAGAACCTCTCCCCACTGCTTTACCTCTTCGTGCTCCTGAAATTCTTCGGCTAACTCTGCAGCTTCTCTAAGAGCCTTTCTCCACTGCTTTACCCTTTCTCGTTTTTCTTCACGTTTCTTGTCATCTTTTTCTTTATGGATGTTCTTTTTGTGCTTCTTAAATGCTTGGGCTAAAACTCCATTCTGCTTCCTGACATGTGAAGGATCAATGTGATAGAATATTGGCAAAACATGTCGCCCCAGTTTGCCTCTGCACTCCATGATCTTCACCAGCTCGTTAAGACACCAACTCGAATCCGCATACCTCTCTGAGAAGACAATGATAGAGATCTTTGATTTTTCGATTGCCCGTTCCAGTTCTTTTTGTATTTCTTCCCCTCTTTTTAGATCATCCTCATCAATATAAGCCTGGTATCCCTTGTCTGTTAATGCCGCGTGGAGGTGGTCCGTGAAGCCATTGCGTGTGTCTTCACCGCTGAAGCTCAAGAACACGTCATTATTCCAAAGTTTTGACTTGGAGGAGGATGAAGAGGAGGCTTCGTGGGTTGTCATGGCAGTATCCACCGTTATGGCACAGCAGTGGTTCAGATCACGACTGAAAAATGGCAGTAGTTGTGTTTTTGCTGTCGAATGGATGATCCTGAAATACCTAAACCCAAGTCAAGCTCCTTCAGTCAACAAGAACAAAGTTTATAACAAAATAATGTTGGCGTATGAACTTGAGAAACAACATAATGTTGGCCAGAAGGTGCAGAGACAAACTTGAATGCAAGCTTTCTGAAATTTTCCAAACAATACAGATAAAAAGGTAACACCCTAGTCAGACGAGATGCGAGCTTTCTAAGAAACCCAGATGACAAAATCAACAAAATAGAATGGAAAAATGACTTACACTTTTAAGGCATGCTCGAATCTTGACCTAAAATTGGTGGTGGGTCGATTGTTGGTCACCAAATCTAAATGAAGAATTCATCAAAACCTAGAAATTTAAACAAAGAATTTTCCAAATCAACATTTACTAAAAACCAGTTACTTGGTTATCATGCATGATGGCTTGCCAAAGACTGAATTAAGGAATGCACAACTTTACTTTTATGATTATTTTCAATGACAGCTAAAAGGTCAGATCCAAATGAAAATAAAAGTTAGGACTTCACAAATCCAATTAAAAACCTAATTCAAAAGTTACAAACACCCACTAAATGATTCCAGATAAAGTTTTAAACTCAAGGTCAGACCAAATGAAATTAAAAGTTAGGACTTCACACAACCAATTGAAAATCTGATTCCAAAGTTCCAAACACCCACCAAATGATTCTGGATAAAGTTTAAACTCAAAAACCCAACAGAAACAAAAGCATTGGTGTGAATTAACTGTATCTAATTGAAGAAACTAAAACAAAAGTAAAGCAAAGAATATACCTCAAAATGTCAAGCAACTAAGTTCTTCCTCCAACCCAAAACTCTGAAAATTCCACATACAAAAAAGGGTAATCCCATTAGAAATTCCTCGCTTTCAAAATTAGCAAAAACTTGGGCAACAATAAAGACGCGTTGAGAACCATCACTCTTCTCCTTATGTATTTGAAAAGATATTTTATAAGCAGTTTATGTAGTCATTCTGATCATGTTGCATATAAATTCCTTTTCTACAGAGTTCATAAAAATATGGTAGTTTATGGCATCTGTTGAATAACATGGTTGAAAGATTTAAAATTGATATATTCAATTTTTATGTGTAAATCTATAACATGTAGCTAAAGCTATTGGGTCTACATATCCATAGCAATCATGTCGTAATTGAATGTTTATCGATGTAAATAGATGATTTCAGTCATGTGATAACATGTTTCTTGATAGTATACACTGAAATTTGGTCTAAGTTGGATAAAAATTGACCAAAATCTTAATAAGAGACTCTTTTTACTTTTAACCAAAAATGAGCACCACAGTACTACACTAAGTTTTATCATGCACAAAATACACAGCACTGATTGCTGCTTTTAGAGCAAGAACAATACTTTACCAAAAGAAAACAACAAAACACTCAAAACCCAGAAACAGAAACACACTTAGGACTCAAACTCTTCAAAAACATGAGAGAGGGAGAGAGAGAGGAGAGAATAAAAAACAATATTATTTTTCACACAAACTCAAAATTGCTTATAAAGTTACAAATCAAAACAAATGAATGCAAATCCAAAATTGCCCTAAATTAAATCTGATTAGTTAAATGTTTGTTGCCCTACAAATGTCATTACACCCGACAAAACTTGCTTTGAAGTTGATATTTTGGTCAATCCAGGGGAAAAGGAGTTATTGGTTTTGGAGCAGTTGTCATGGAGAATACCATCTCCCTGTTGAATGATCTAAAACAGGACTTACAGCTTCTGGTGGCCATAATAATTTAGGAGGCCCTTCTCTCCAGATTTTCTCAATAACTTTCCTTTTCGTAGCTGGTAAGATTGCAACTCCAAGAATTGCTCTGAAGAGATATATACAAACAAAATCAAACTAAAACTAAGCTATTGGAAGAAATTTAGAAAACACAAACACCATTACAACTCAGAGTTAAAGTCAACAGAAACCAAATGGTACAAGTTGAAAAAATATATGGTCATGAATCGAGAACTTCATCAAACTAACAGCAATAAAATCTCATAAAATCCGTCAAAACCCAAAAAAGAGATTCAAGACCTTGTAACACCGAGGCCTCGTACAGTTGTAGTAATAGTTTATGGTTGATGCACCTGTTGCTCAATCAAATCCTTTGTCTGGCTAAAAAAAAATAAAAATCTATAAATACATTCACGTCCAGTTTATGAGAAATCATGGGAAAGCAAATGCACCGATAACGGAATCATGAATATGAAGAACTTGCCAAAAAGAAAAAGAAAACTTCTTATAGTGTGCCAAGAACATCCTCCTACTCTTAGCAAATTTTTTATGGCATTATCCACTTCTCAATTCATAATTCAACCACTAACTCAAGCTCTATAGTGTATGAAAAAGTGATATCTTAGTTGATCAAGATGATAATTAAGCAGATTAAATGACAACCCATAAAGCATACAAATTCAGAAAAGAAAAGGTTCAAAACTGCCATAAGAAAATGCAGAATATATAAACGGGAAATCAAAAGAAGAGAAGCGAAAAAAGAAGAAAAAACCAAACAAAATTATTAAGTTTGGTTCAGTGGTTTTTCCAGCAAGAAAGCACCTTGTTTGTAATTCGTGAGAGGTTGGAGAGCGAGAGAAGCTGATTTGGAAGCCAAAGAAAGCGAGGTTGGAGACCGACAGAATGCTGAGAATTGCGAGAGAGAAACGAAAAGGAAAGGAAAAGCGGAGACGAAGTCACGACTATCGACGCGTGGGTAGGATTCCACTGTGCCGAGGACGAAAAAGAAAGGGGAATGGAGAGCTGGCTGAGGGAGACAGAATTCGCGAAGCGCTCTGAATTTTTTTTTTTTTTTTTCACGAGAGAGAGCGGAATGAAGAGAATCGAGAAGAGGAGAATCATTTTAAGCGATGATCGACGCGTGAGAATTGAGGGCAAATTTGCCATTTTGCTGTGAACAAAAGAAACAAGAAAAAACTAAGGTCAAGGGTTTGAAAACTTCTAGTTTTAACGAAAATGGTAAAATAAAAGGTAAAATAAGATTGACTTTTTAATATAAAAATATAAATTTTTGTCAAAGTGAATGCTACCAGAGTTTTTCGTTAAAATTCTCAAGAAAAAATGAGCAATCAAGAGTAATTTGGGAGCAATTAGGCACTTTACTGTTAATAAACAGTTGCTCTATGTTTGAGATCTATTATAGGTATACAATTTGGTGATGAAGAGGGATGCATCAGAAAACACAAGAGTCAAGACTTGCATTGGTTTATACAACTAATCAATTATATTATATAACAAGAGCTAGGTCCATATTTATTACACAAGATTCTAAAAGATGCTAGGTGTTGGTCGGGCAGCCGGTTGGGGCCTAACGATTAAGCGGATCCTGTAATGTAGAAGAACAAGCCTCTATATTACATGGATAAACATAATTAGGCGTAAGAAAATGTTGAAGAATAAAATTTTGTAAACTAAATGATATGGAAGTTGATAATTGGATCATCACTTAAGCGTTAATAAATGTGTTTATTCTTATTTGTGACACATCATTTAATTTATAAATTTTATTTGATATTCTTTTTCTATATATTTATAAATTCTTTCTTTAATTATAAGGGTAACTTAGTAAATTCATAAGCAAATATTTTACTTAAGGGGTTTTTTGAAAAATGGCAATGTTTGTGTTTGTGTTGCCGAACAGATAAGCTCCTTCAATCAACGAGAACAAAGTTTATAATATAATAAATGTTGGCGTATGGGCTTGAGAAACGACAAAATGCCGGTCGGGAAGGTGCAGAGAAGAGTAAGAGAGAGAAAAAAAGGAAAGAAACAAACACAAAAAGACAAGGACTATCAAATAGATTGTAACAATGACTTCTCGACGGTGATTACAAGTACTCAACCATCAATAATGTTTTATTTTAGATTGAAATGTGTAAGCATTTAAGAAATAGCATTACAACAACCACAGAATAAACAAAAGTGATACAAGAAAAGACCCAAATGTGAAACAACAACTAAAAACAATTATTAAAACTATTGCAAATGGGGGTGCACCATAATACACCCCAATGGATCGTTTTAAGCTCCTCTACTGCTAAAACTATTGCAAAATGCGCATTAGAATTATACTTCTGTTAGATGCGCCCTTCCTTACTAGGCAAATGAACCATATAATACACCAAGATGGATGTTATACACCTTGGAGTTTGAGCAGAATTTTTTTTTGTTATCTCATTGTCTCACATTGCTAGAACTGAGAAGTTTATAATATAATAACGTTCGCTTATGAACTTGAGAAACGACATACTGCTGCCCGGCCGGGAAAATGCAGTGAAAGAGAGGAAAGGAAGAAAGAAACGAGCACGAAAGGACAAAGACTATCCAATAGATTATAAACAATTACTTCTTGGGGTGATTACATCTAAATGGATGCCATATATGCATATATAAACAATGTTTTCAAAGGATGTTATGACTTTCTTGCCGGTATGGGGGAAAAGGAAAGAAACTAGCACGAAACTGCAGACCCCGTCGATCCATTATAATAAATTTCGATGGTCCAAGTTGCAAGGTACCTGTGGAAGACATCGTCTCAGAAAAGTAGGATTAAGAACTGAAGTTCTCCTGCAACTCTACACAACTGAAAGCAAGGCTCGCTAAATGGGGCTTGAGTTTTCGGTATACTTGCGTATTTAGTGGAGAGATCAGGGACCTCAGTTTTATACATGAAATTCAGTAAGGATCCCTCCCATTAAGTGATCCTTATCAAAGAGTAGCCTTATTACAGTGAAACACTTATGCATTATATCAGCTAGAAGAGTTCTAGCTAGTTTTACCGAGAATGCATCTGACTTGAAACTGTAAAGAAATACAACTCCTAATAAGTCTACCACAAGTGTCCATCCCTATCTCCTTGTCATTCCACATGTCTTTAATCAAATCACCAAGTGTCTGCTCTCATATAGAACTTACACAAGTCTCATGTAGTTTCATCTAACTTATTTTCCACAACGGTAAATATATTTCAATGACTCCGGTTTTCACATACCAGTCAGTCACACGCTCAACTCCTCAACGTTCGGGCTCAATGGCTCGAAGAAAGCTTCCACTTCACTCTGATTCACCTCCCTCTTACTTTGACGGGTTCCACTTCGGATTCTGCATTGACAAAAAACAGAAGCAAAAGATAACGATCTGTTCTGATACAAGGAAAGTAAGATGATTATATAACTGTAGGTCTAGTAGACGCTGTAATGGTTTATGTTGCAGCAACTCCGTCAGCAAGGAATCTTGAGCATAATTAACGAACCTGATCCTTGTCCACCAAAACTGCCCGCACACCTTCAGCAAAATCATTCCGCAAAGACGATCTTATAGCAACGCGATATTCAGTTTTCATCACACCAGTTAGCTGGAATGGATCAAGTAAAGCACATATTTCTCACTCACAAAATGTGAAATACTACAACACAAAATCTATCAAAAGGATGCAACCATGCGATGAATGAAACGAAAGGTTAGAAAGTAAGACTCACTGGATAATTGATTGTCATTTTTCCCAAGCGCAGATGCAACTTTGGAGAAGTAATTTTGCGTCAAATAAAGTGAAAAAGGAGCACCTTTCCAAGACCTTGAAGAGCTTCATTAGCCCACTCCACCACTGCAACAGAAACAATTTGATAGAAAATACTTGACAGCCACGTACAAGCCTCTCAATAGAAGAGTAAGACAGATTTCATTTCGTCATCGATAAACAAATGGCATTGACAAACTTACCAGTAGCATCTGAACTCTGCTGCTGCTTTTTAAGTTCATCAATTGTCACAAGGACCTATTTGCACCAAATGCTGAAGTTATTTGAGGTAAAAGACACAAGCCTACAGGCTATCAACAAGAACACACTTCACATTTGGGTCACATTCCCATTCATCCAGAATCCCAGATAGCTCTTGTATTTCACATCCGTATCTGCATTTTCCAACAATTCCCACTTAACAGAAACACAAAATTCTTTTTAAAAAGCTAACTTCCTCGAAATTTCAATCTAACATTTCGTCTTATAACAAAAGCAATAACATAGAATTGTAATCAATACGATGCAATAAAGTTCAAGCTCAAAAATTCAAATCAGCTCCAAATCAAAAGCTTTTACAGATATATACATGTATACATACAGATATATACATATATACATGTGTGCGTGTGTTTATCTACATACCTAGGTTCATGGCGTTGACAGCTCGGGGGCGACCAAAGGTGATGACAGCGACGCCATTGGGTGACGCTGCCCTTGACGAACGCGTCGGCGGAGGCCATGACCGGACTACCCTTGATGTTTCGGTTAAATTACCGGGAAAAAGAACTGCCGCGGTGGCTACGGTGGGAAAGTTGTGATAGTGCGGTGGCGGGCAGTGATTGGGCCAGCTAAATCTGAAAGTGAAGCCCAATTTAAGATAATTGTTAGCCAAATTCAAAACATTTGAACGATCATAAAATTTTGAAAGAAATACGAAATACAGACTTGCCTTCATTATCGAACTGAGAAATCGAAAATGAAAGAGGCGTTTGACGAACTGATTTTGATTTGACTCAAACATATGATGATGACGATGCATCACCACCTTGATTGTGCCTCTGGATCAAAAACACACCATCAGGATCAAAATCGTGCACATTTTCCTTCATAGGTTTGTCCCATACTAGATTAACCCCTGTTCTCTTAATTGTCACGTAATGAGAATTTCTAGCTGGCGTTTCAAAAGTTATATCAACTTTATCCCCGCTTTGCAAATTGAGCTTACTGTTCGATATTTGTCCCTGCCAAAGAAAATAGTCTCTAAATATATTATCACCCTTTTTTATAACCCCCTTTCTTATAACCCCCTTTTTTCTAACCCAATCTTCCTTGCCTATGCAGGTCTGCAACACAGGACGTTTTATAACCCAATCCCAATCTTCCTTGCCTATGCAGGTCTGCAACACAGGACGTTTTATAACCTGCAACACAGGACGTTTTATAACCCAATCCCAATCTTCCTTGCCTATGCAGGTCTGCAACACAGGACGTTTTATAACCCAATCTTCCTTGCCTATGCAGGTCTGCAACACAGTACGCTTGGTATTATTTATATCAATACTGGCACGAGGATGACCATCTTCACATCTCATATAATCGCTTGAGTGGTGAATGCAGAACAGAGTCAGTCCTTCAAAATTACGACCATTACTCGGTGGAATTTTAAAACTGACTGTATTACCATCTTCGACAAACTCGAACCAATCAGGAACATAATTCCCATGGAGAAAAATGCCACCATATCCGCAATAAGTCCATTCCTATAAATACAATGCAAGTGTCATATATACTAGCATATGGGCGCACACAAAGTGTGTGAGAAAAAAATTTATTTTTGTTTTTGAAATAGAAGGAGAGAGGAAGGGGGTGACAAAGAACGTGGGAGTGGGAAATTTATTTTATTTTTTTATTTTATTTATAATTAAAGATATGTTAGGATTACATATAGGTGAGGCTTTGAAAGAAAAAAGTAAAATTTGGTTGTGTTACATTTTTGCCTCATATTTCTTATTTATGTTCTGTTTTAATTAGAGGGTTAAACTGGTAATTTCATAAGGTTTTAGTTGATAATGAGTGTTTTATTAATTAGTAGAGATATATATACACAAACACATGTACATGTGCGCGTTGTGTGTGTGCAAGTGCGCCATAGGAAGGCAGTTAGAGAGAGAGAGAGAGACAGACAGAGACAGAGAAAGAGAGAGAGAGAGAGAGATACCTTTAGGATGTTCCTCCTAAAATCAGCTGTGAGTTTGGTGCAACATTGCATATTAATCCATGTCATGGAGTCTAATGACTTATCCAAGTCTGGCACCTCAGTGAGTGCGGGTGAATCACGTACATTCAGTACTCTCATATTCGACATTTTGGAAAAATTGGGCATTGTTACCAAACTACGGCATCCAGGCGCATCAATAAATTTCAAATTTGATGGTAAATCATAAATTGTATGAAGCTCGGAGCAAAACCCTAAACGCAGACTTTCAAGCTTTGAAAGATCACTGAGGCTGGGTAGGGTGTGAATGGCATAGCAGTTATTTAACACCAGAGTTCTAAGCTGTGAAAGACCACTCAGGCTGGGTAGGGTACGAAGATAAATGCAGTAACTTAACTGCAAACTTTCAAGCTTTGAAAGGCCACTGAGGCTGGGTAGGGTATGAAAATCATTTTGTGAAAGATCCAAATGTTGTAAAGAAATTAGACTCCCAAAACCTTTTGGGAATGCATCATCGCTTAATCTGCACGATGAGAGAACTAAATTTCTTAAAGAGTCTAAGCCGTGTAATGAATCGGGAAATTGCAGAAGGTTCATGTGTACTAGAGATAAATGAGTGAGATTCTTCAATCTTACTGCGGAACGCGGTACTTGTGTTATGGCTGTGTCAGATGCATTAAGTACTCTCAATGATATCATCTTCCCTAAATCCTCGGGCAGTTCACTGATTTGATTACACACATTAAGAAGAAGAGTCTGAACGGATTTGGACTTATAGAAATCCCCAGGAAGAGAAATAAGATTCTTGCAGCCTAAGAGGTTCACCAAAGAAAGTTTTTTAAGATGACCAATGGAGGGGTGAATCTCGGACAAATTCTCACACCATTGCAATATCAACTCTTCAAGATTTGGGAGATTTGAAAAGTCTGGTGATTTTTTTAAGTCATGGCAATAACTGAGATCAAGGATTTTCAAGTTTCCAAGCGACTGTTGCACAAAATCAAAGGAAAATTAAAATTAATATCCAAAAGGAATATCTCGTAAAAAAGAGAGAAGGAAATCCAAAATCAAATAGAAACATAACATCATCATGTGTAATCGATTGTACCTTGGAGCCCTCCCAAACTTGTACCAGTTTGCCAAACGTTATCTTTAAAATAACTAGTTCTCGTCGTTGATCAAAGAAATCATCTGGTATGGATTTTAAAGGGCATCCACCCCAGCACAACCATATTAACTCTTTGGAAAGATGTTTGTATTCTCCATTAAGCTGCACGTTGTAGAGCTGGAGCAGTCTCAGTTTCTTCATATTGGCAAATGCTTCTGTACTGAAACTAGCCAAGTTACGGAATGGATAAAAATCAGGGGAACCTACAACAAGTCCTTCAACTTCTTTAGTTCCCTGTTAACACATTATACTGGGTAAGAAAAGGATTATGTGCATCTATTCCTAATTGAGCTTCTTTATGCAAATACATATATTTACACATGAATGTTTCTAATGTATAATAGGCATACGTGGGTTACATATATGCTTTTCTTGTACGATGCATTAATACAAAGTTTTATTGAGAATGTACTTACAGATTTATCTCTCAATACATCAGTGACCTCTTGATGGTTCCACAATCTACTCCATTCTCCAAGGGGACGACGAGAATTTCCAGAAATTATTACTTTGGCCATTTCTCGAAGCAAATCATGCATATTCAACTCGTTGTGTTCAATAGTTATAAGGCATCGTTCACGGAGGACACTGATTCCTATTGTTGCAAAAAAGTTACATCCATCTAAAATTTTTGCGACATCGTCCTTATCCCATCCAATAAAGAAACAAGATATGTCAAGGAATATATCCTTTTGCGTAGGATCTAGCATTTCAAAGCTTGATCTTAGAGCTTTCATTATTCCTTCATCAGGAAATTTTTTCAATTTCTCCAACTGACTTTTCCACTCTGTTGGGGTTCTTTCAATCATAGAAGAACCTAAAACTTCAAGGGCTAGTGGCAAACCTCCACAGTAAGAAACAACCTCTTTTGAGAGTTCAAGATATCCTTCATCAGGCCAACTATTTCCAAAGGCATGCCAACTAAAGAGCTTCAGAGCTTCTTCTTCATTCATTTCCTTAAGGGGATATGTCTTGTCCACTTTCATGTTCGCTTGCTTTAGTAAATGTTCATCTCGTGTCGTTATGATAATTCTACTTCCTGGGCCAAACCAATCACGATTTCCAGCCATTGCATTTAGTTGTTCCACTTTGTCTACATTGTCAATAATGACAAGTACACTTCTACGTTGGAGATGATTTTTTATCAGACTGATACCTCCATCAACACTGGTTATCTTAGACTCGGTCTGTTTCAAGATGTCAGAAACAAGTTTTCCTTGCAAATCAACCAGATCATATTCACTAACGTTAAGGAAGCTTTTGAATTGGAACTTATGATGAATGTGGTTATAAATGGCTTTGGCAGCTGTTGTTTTACCCAATCCACCCATCCCCCAAATTCCAACCATGCGAACAACATCTGATCCACCATTTGAAAGATAAGTGATGATATCTTGAATGCGAGTATATATTCCAACTGGGTGCTTGGCCAAATGTAATTTTTCTGCGCTCGGAAGCCATTCCCGGGATAATCTTGTCAACAATTTCTCTAATAAGCTTTGCTTCGCGCCTGAAAAATTGAATTGGTAAGCTTAGTAAGTAGGCTCAGTAGGAGCTATTAGTACTAATATAAATAATTTTCTTACCTTCTTTCCTTCGTGTATGTGTGTGTGTGTGTGTGTGTGTGTGTGTGTACACAAACTAGCTACTAGCTAGTATGTAATTTTGTGACCAACTTCAATAGAAACAAATTCATTCATGGATATATTAAAGTTTGGTGTATCAATTAAACTCTAATTAAGATTCAAGAAATTTGTGGGATGCGGGTTCGAGGTTTGGGTGAAGGCTGTGGTCCGTGGGCTACAGGTTAGGGTCGGCTGGGGAGTGGGGATTAGGGATTGGGGGTTGGAAGTGGGAGGTTGACGGGGTGTGAATCAAAGATTGAAGGTGAAGGGGTGGACTGCAAACCTGCGAGTGATGGTGGGATAAGGTTGGCCTACAATTTTATATAGATATATAGGTGAAACTAACATGTAAAGTTGTAAACACTTCTAACTAAAATTTAAAAGAATTGGTTACAAAGGACTAACGCTCTATATTTTATCAAGTTCAAGCACAAAATGTAATGTATTTTAAGTTTAGGAACCAAAGCTACAATTTTCCTCTAGATTTTATATGAGAGATTAAGGCGTATTAATTAAGCATGTTAATTAGAGTAATACAACTTAAATATTGAAAAGCACGTGAATGATTACCTATTATCAGTGATTTGAAGATGGTAGCCAGACAAATTTGCAGCTTTTGTAAGAACCTCTCCCCACTGCTTTACCTCTTCGTGCCCCTGAAATTCTTCGGCTAACTCTGCAGCTTCTCTAAGAGCCTTTCTCCACTGCTTTACCCTTTCTCGTTTTTCTTCACGTTTCTTGTCATCTTTTTCTTTATGGATGTTCTTTTTGTGCTTCTTAAATGCTTGGGCTAAAACTCCATTCTGCTTCCTGACATGTGAAGGATCAATGTGATAGAATATTGGCAAAACATGACGCCCCAGTTTGTCTCTGCACTCCATGATCTTCACCAGCTCGTTAAGACACCAACTCGAATCCGCATACCTCTCTGAGAAAACAATGATAGAGATCTTTGATTTTTCGATTGCCTGTTCCAGTTCTTTTTGTATTTGTTCCCCTCTTTTTAGATCATCCTCATCAATATAAGCCTGGTATCCCTTGTATGTTAATGCCGCGTGGAGGTGGTCCGTGAAGCCATTGCGTGTGTCTTCACCGCTGAAGCTCAAGAACACATCGTAATTCCAAAGTTTTGACTTGGAGGAGGATGAAGAGGAGGCTTCGTGGGTTGTCATGGCGGTATCCACCGTTATGGCACAGCAGTGGTTCAGATCACGACTGAAAAATGGCAGTAGTTGTGTTTGTTCTGTCGAACGGATGATCCTGAAATACCTAAACCCAAGTCAAGCTCCTTCAATCAACAAGAACAAAGTTTATAACATAATAATGTTGGCGTATGAACTTGAGAAACAACATAATGTTGGCCAGAAGGTGCAGAGACAAACTTGAATGCAAGCTTTCTGAAATTTTCCAAACAATACAGATAAAAAGGTAACACCCTAGTCAGACGAGATGCGAGCTTTCTAAGAAACCCAGATGACAAAATCAACAAAATAGAATGGAAAAATGACTTACACTTTTAAGGCATGCTCGAATCTTGATCTAAAATTGGTGGTGGGTCGATTGTTGGTCACCAAATCTAAATGAAGAATTCATCAAAACCTAGAAATTTAAACAAAGAATTTTCCAAATCAACATTTACTAAAAACCAGTTACTTGGTTATCATGCATGATGGCTTGCCAAAGACTGAATTAAGGAATGCACAACTTTACTTTTATGATTATTTTCAATGACAGCTAAAAGGTCAAATCCAAATGAAAATAAAAGTTAGGACTTCACAAAACCAATTAAAAACCTAATGCAAAAGTTACAAACACCCACCAAATGATTCCAGATAAAGTTTTAAACTCAATGTCAGACCGAATGAAATTAAAAGTTAGGACTTCACAAAACCAATAGAAAATCTGATTCCAAAGTTCCAAACACCCACCAAATGATTCCGGATAAAATTTAAACTCAAAAACCCAACAGAAACAAAAGCATTGGTGTGAATTAACTGTATCTAATTGAAGAACTAAAACAAAAGTAAAACAAAGAATATACCTCAAAATGTCAAGCAACTAAGTTCTTCCTCCAACCCAAAACTCTGAAAATTCCACACAAAAAAAAGGGTAATCCCATTAGCAATTCCTCACTTTCAAAATTAGCAAAACTTGGGCAACAATAAAGACGCGTTGAGAACCATCACTCTTCTCCTTATGTATTTGAAAAGATATTTTATAAGCAGTTCATTCTGATCATGTTGCATATAAATTCCTTTTCTACGGAGTTCATAAAAATATGGTAGTTTATGGCATCTGTTGAATAACATGGTTGAAAGATTTAAAATTGATATATTCAATTTTTATGTGTCAAACTATAACATGTAGCTAAAGCTATTGGGTCTATATATCCATTAGCAATTCCTCGCTTTCAAAATTAGCAAAAACTTGGGCAACAATAAAGACGCGTTGAGAACCATCACTCTTCTCCTTATGTATTTGAAAAGATATTTTATAAGCAGTTTATGTAGTCATTCTGATCATGTTGCATATAAATTCCTTTTCTACAGAGTTCATAAAAATATGGTAGTTTATGGCATCTGTTGAATAACATGGTTGAAAGATTTAAAATTGATATATTCAATTTTTATGTGTCAAACTATAACATGTAGCTAAAGCTATTGGGTCTATATATCCATAGCAATCATGTCGTAATTGAATGCTTATCGATGTAAATAGATGATTTCAGTCATGTGATACATGTTTCTTGATAGTATACACTGAAGTTTGGTCGTTGGATAAAAATCGACCAAAATCTTAATAAGACTCTTTTAACTTTTAACCAAAAATGAGCACCACAGTACTACACTAAGTTTTATCATGCACAAAATACACAGCACTGATTGCAGCTTATAGAGCAAGAACAATACTTTACCAAAAGAAAACAACAAAACACTCAAAACCCAGAAACAGAAACAAAAACACACTTGGGACTCAAACTCCTCAAAAACATGAGAGAGAGAGAGAGAGAGAATAAAAAAACAATATTATTTTTCACACAAACTCAAAATTGCTTATTGCTTATAAAATCACAAATCAAAACAAATGAATGCAACTCCAAAATTGCCCTAAATTAAATCTGATTAGTTAAATGTTTGTTGCCCTACAAATGTCATTACACCCGACAAAACTTGGTTTGAAGTTGATATTTTGGTCAATCCAAGGGAAAAGGAGTTATTGCTTTTGGGGCAGTTGTCATGGAGAATATCATCTCCCTGTTGAATGATCTAAAAAAGGACTTACAGCTTCTGGTGGCCATAATAATTTAGGAGGCCCTGCTCTCCAGATTTTCTCAATAACTTTCCTTTTCGTAGCTGGTAATATTGCAACTCCAAGAATTGCTCTGAAGAGATATATTCAATAAAAATCAAACTAAAACAAAGCCATTGGAAGAAATTTAGAAGACACAAACACCACTACAACTCAAAGTTAAAGTCAACAGAAACCAAATGGTACAAGTTGAAAAAATATATGGTCATAAATTGAGAACTTCATCAAACTAACAGCGATAAAATCTCATTTAATCTGTCTAAAACCAAAAAAGAGAGAAAGGTAATTTCAAGACCTTTGTAGTAATAATATATGGCTGATGCACCTGTTGCTCAATCAAATCATTTGTCTGGCTAAAAAAATAAAAATCTGTAAATACATTCACGTCCAATTTATGAGAAATCATGGGAAAGCAAATGCATTGATAATGGAATCATGAATATGAAGAACTTGCCAAAAAGAAAAAGAAAACTTCTTATAGTGTGCCAAGAACATCCTTCTACTCCTAGCAAATTTTTTATGGCATTATCCAATTCTCAATTCATAATTCAAACAGTAACTCAAAGTCTATAGTGTATGAAAAAGTGATATCTTAGTTGATCATGATGATAATTAAGCAGATTAAATGACGACCCATAAAGCATACAAATTCAGAAAAGGAAAGGTTCAAAACTGCCATAAGAAAACACAAAATATATAAACGGGAAATCAAAAGAAGAGAAGCGAAAAAGGAAGAAAAAACCAAACAAAATTATTAGGTTTGGGATATACCATTATCTGAAACACCACAATCATCAAAGTCAAACATAAACAATCCAAAAATTTGTGGAAAATACCAATAAATGCTCAACTAAAAACGAAAGAAAACGTAGAATAAGTTTCCTGTTCTCCCCCTAATTAAATTGGAATACAATTCACCACTAATATTCTTGTCATCCTCTTCAGCCTGAAAAATTTAGTAGAATTATTCAATGAAGACGCTTAATGGAGACAGTAATATTAGCAATGGAGGAATTGAATTGATAACTAAAACTGCAAGACCAAATGACTGCAATAGGTTCAAAACAGAAACTCGTCTGTTAGATGTCTCATCTTTAGGCGGTGCCTTGTTCTTTTTTTTTTTTTTTTTTTTAAATTAATTTTTTTATTTGTTGCATGTCTTTTGAAGTTCATGTAAATCAACAAAATTGATACTTTTGACACAACCAACAATGGAGAGGTAAAAAGTTAAAAACAGAAGGAAAGTCTTCAGTTTTGTAATGGATTTTGCAAGTCAGAAATTCTGTTTGAGAATTTGAAACCCAGAAAGTCTGCCGGCAATTATTAACGATCACAGATAAGCACCGAATGAAGGCCAATCTAATAAGCCAAAATATGTAGGGCACTAAATTATTCCCCAGTAACAATGATAGATAAGCACATGTGAAACTAAAGAAAATTTTCATTACTATCAACTCTAAAAAAAAAAACCTATGATATCCTTTGTAAACAAAGAGATTGAGCATTTCCACTCAAAATAATCCCACCGATTAAAATCACACAACTAAAAGCAATTGAATCAAGAAAAAAGATAATTACACAATAACTACACCTTCACTAAAAAAATAAATTATAAAAACGAAGACCGTGAGAATAATTGCCAACCTTTGTACTGTGATTTGATGCCAAAAGCAAAAATAATGTCATATACATTAAGCCTGCCAATTACTAAAAACAAAACATTTTGCCATGAGGAGAAGTAAGAACATACCGAAACTTGTTTGCAAATAGATGAGAAAAATTTATACCTGAAACAGATGGGAAATTTATTAGGAAAGATAGATCAGCCCACGTGTGTAATCTATATACAAAAAACCACTCTCTTCATTAGCCAAATCGTTTCACAAATCCAAAAACACAGAATTATATCTTGAACAATGCCAATTAATGATTTCCCATTTACTTAAGCCCAACATCAAAGCCAATGAACTGATGAAAGAGCGAAAATGAGAAACATAAAACCTCAATTAAGCAATTAAATGAAGTATTACTTGATAGAGCTGGAAAATTACCCAGTAAGATTAAAAAAAGAAAGATGAGATGGAGCGGGAATCACATACGGCATCACCTTTAAATATGTAGTGCTCCTCAGAGAGTGGATCAAGAGTGACTGATGAGAGGGCAGAGAAACGAATGACTCAGAAATTCAAGCTCTGAGCTCAAAGTTGGGGCTTCCACTTTCCAACTGGGGAAGAAATAACAGAGAAAACATAGAGAGCCAATCCACCAAAAATATTAATCAAATGGGTTTCTTCTAATTCAAAATTTGGAGCACCCAAATTCCGATGAAGCAATAACCATTCAAAATTCCAACAGACTGAAGCCCTCACAGACTACAAATTATCAATACCCAGCAATAAAAAATTTGAAAACAGTAATAATGAAGGAAAAAGAAATTAAAGCCGCAAGCCATTCTCTAAATCTCAGGCACCAATCCAAATCACCAGTAATTTGCACATAATGATAAGAATCTAGCAGTATTTCCATTGTTTAAAACCCAAATTCAAGAAATCATAAAAAATGGAAACTTTATATAGAAATTGAAGCTTTACCTGCAGATCTGCAGCAGCAAACGGAATCCAACGGCATGTACCTCAAAAGTCAGAGAGAGCTGAGAGATGAGTAAGAGAATCGGTAAACAAAAACCCCCAAAATCACAGAAGGAAATTTGAACAGAAAACAAATTTGCAATTCCAAAATCACAAAAACGAAATTGAAACACCCACACTGAGAAAAAGCTGTAAAACTCACCAGGAAACGCTAGCTTTTCAGAGTGAAAACTTTATTCGAATCGAATAGAAGAACCGAGGAAAGTTGTACTGGTTCAGTGGTTTTTCCAGCAAGAAAGCACCTTGCGTGTAATTCGTGAGAGGTTGGAGAGCGAGAGAAGCCGATTTGGGAGCCAAAGAAAGCGAGGTTGGAGACCGACAGAGGCTGAGAATTGCGAGAGAGAAAGACGAAAAGGAAAGGAAAAGCGGAATGAAGAGAACCGAGAAGAGGAGGAATCATTTTAAGCAATGATCGACGAGTGGGAAGTAAACTATTATTTACAAATCCAAAGCATTACCCGAACTCATGATACAAAAGCTCCTTTGACAGAAGAAAATATGAGATTTGCATTCTTTTTCAACACTTACTCTTGGTTTCATAATAAACTATTATACGAAGGATTAAATGCTCAACAGATTCTTTCAAAATCGAAGTTTTTCATGAACTTTTTAGCATCTTATGTTTTTAGAGTTAATTACGTTTGAGATATTACAAGTTTTCACAAAATTTTCTTACGTTTGAGATGTTACACTAACATTCTTTTAATGTAATGTCTCAAATGTAAAGGGATTTTGTGAAAACTCGACTAACTTTTGGAGTGTTAGGGTAATTAACCTATTTTTGTGCAAATATTGTAAAATATTATGCCAAATACATTAAGTGGCGGATAGTTTATGGACAGTTTCACTTTAAAAGAGGATAATCCTTACATCTTTCTAATAGACATGTACGGTGGAAAAAGATCACTCCATAATTAAATATTGTGTTGTTGATTACGCGTCTCCCTATTTGATTAAGTTTCTTTTCACATTCTTCTCTGAAAAGTAATGGTTTCTTTTCACAATATTAGGATTAGTTTGGTATTGTTGTGCTTTTTTAAAAAACTGCATCTAATGTGTTGTGAGGGGGAGAGAAAAGAAACTAGCGCAAAACTGCAAACGCTCGATTCGTTGTAATATATAATAAAAATTGATAGTCATGTATAAAATATGATACGAGTATAGTTTTGACATATGTTCCTACCAAAGATAATCGCCGTGTCTTTCAAATTTGTTGGTAAAAAAAGGAAAAAAAAAACAAACAAAATTATTAGGTCGATATACCTTTATCTGAAACGCCACAATCATCAAAGTCAAACACAAACAATCCAAAAATTTGTGGAAAATACCAATAAATGCTCAACCAAAAACGAAAGAACACGTAGAATAAGTTTACCTGTTCTTCCACTAATTAAACTGGAATACAATTCACCACTAATATTCTCGTCATCCTCTTCAGCCTGAAAAATTTAGTAGAACATAATGATAAGAATATAGCAGTATTTCCATTGTTCAAAACCCAAATTCCAGAAATCATGAAAAATGGAAACTTTATACGGAAATTGAAGCTTTACCTGCAGATCATCAGCAGCAGACGGAATCCAACGGCATGTACCTCAAAAGCGAGAGAGAGAGCTCAGAGATGAGTGAGAAAATCGATAAACAAAACCCTCCAAAATCACAAAAGGAAGATTGAACAGAAAACAAATTTGCAACTCCAAAATCACAAAAACGAAATTGAAACACCCACACTGAGAAAGCTGTAAAACTCACCAGGAAACGCTAGCTTTTCTGGGTAAAAAAATTATTCGAATGGAATTGAAGAACCGAGGAAAGTTCTACTGGTTCAGTGGTTTTTCCAACAAGAAAGCACCTTGTTTGTAATTCGTGAGAGGTTGGAGAGCGAGAGAAGCCGATTTGGGATTAAAATATGGTAGTGGTTGTGTTTGCGTTGCCTAACGGATGATATTGAAATACATAAACACAAGTCAAGCTCCTTCAGTCAACAAAAACAAAAGTTTATAATATGATAATGTTGGCGTATGGACTTGAGAAACAACATAGGCCGGGAAGGTGCAAAGAAAGAGTAAGAGAGAGGAAAAGAGGAAAGAAACGAACATGAAAGAACAAAGAACATCGAATACATTATAAAACAATGACTTCTTAACGGTCATTACATCTCAACCATCAATAATGCATTATTTTAGCTTGAAATGTGGAAGCATTTGAGAAGTAGCACGGCAACAACCACATAATAAACAAAAGTGGACCCAAATGTTAAAGGATAATTAAAAACAATTATTTAAGATGGGCGGTAATTGATTCAACCATTTACAAGATTCGAACTTAGAATAATCATGGATCATTGTATTAACTATGAACAGGTGCTATAATATAATTCTTAGGGATTTCAAGGAGGCATACGGGGGACTGCATAATGTGCAATAGGATTAAACTTCTTTTGTTACTAGGCAAATGAACCATATTGAAAAAAGTTGAGGTTCAATCATAATAAACTATTATATGAAGGAGAAACTGTCACATCCCAATCCGCATAGTAAGATATTGTTCGTTTTGGGCCACACCCTCACAGATTTGTTCTTGGCCTTCCACGCAAAACGCGTCTTACTGTAGGGAGGTGGGCATGTATATATAAGGCACATCACCTCATCTCCTCCGAGCAATGTGGGATCTCACAATCCACCCCCCTTAGGGGCCCGACACCCTCGTCAACACACTTTCAGCCGGGGAGTGGCTCTGATACCAAAATTGTCACATCACAATCCGCATAGTAAGATATTGTTCACTTTGGGCCACACCATCACTGATTTGTTCTTGGGCTTCCGCCCAAAACGCGTCTTACTATAGGAGGTGGGCATGTACATATAAAGCACATCACCTCCTCTCTCCCGGACGATGTGGGATCTTACAAAAATACTAAAAAGACTCTCTCAAAATTAGAACTTTGAGATAACTTTTTAGTATCTCATATTTTTGGGGTTAATTATATTAACACCTTATGAGGTTTATCGAGTTTTCACAAAACCTCTTACATTTGAGATATTACACTAACACCTCTTTAGTGCAATGTCTCAAACATAAAGGGGTTTTGTGAAAGCTCGATTAACTTCGGGGTGTGTTAGTGTAATTAACCCATTTTTGTGTAAAAATTATAAAATATTATGTCAAATACATTAAGTAGCGAATACTATAGACAGTTTCACTTTCAGAGAGTCTCCTTACATATTTCTAATGGATATGGACCATGGAAAAAATCACTCCATAATTAAATATTGTGATGTTGATTACGCGTCTCTCTATTTGATTAAGTTCCTTTTCACATTCTTCTCTTAAAAAAAAAAAATGATTCCCTTTCACATTATTAGTAAGTGACCATTTTGAACTTTCTTGGCTGTTTCTTGATTACGCGTCTCTCTATTTGATTAAGTTCCTTTTCACATTCTTCTCTTAAAAAAAATGATTCCCTTTCACATTATTAGTAAGTGACCATTTTGAACTTTCTTGGCTATTTCTTGATTACGCGTCTCTCTATTTGATTAAGTTCCTTTTCACATTCTTCTCTTAAAAAAGAATGATTCCCTTTCACATTATTAGTAAGTGACCATTTTGAACTTTCTTGGCTGTTTGGTGGGAAAGAAAAGAAACTAGCACAAAACTGTAGACGCTCAATTCATTGTAATATATAATTAAAAATAATAGTGACGTATAAAAAATGATACGATTATAGTTCTAACATATGTCTCTACCAAAGATAATCACCTTGTCCTTCAAATTTGTTGGTTAGTTGGGGATTGCATGAAGATTTTCGCACTAATCTAAATACAATGTTTCAAACCTTAAAAAACCACTTAAGCTTTGAGACCATCTTCGAAGGAGATATCAAATTTTAAATATAAATTTTGAATTTGATGGTTTATGTGGCATTTTAAGTTTTGCTCTCCACCCGATATGTCAAATTAAACTATTATTTTATTACACTATTTTCCTTTCATAATTGCTATTATATATTTTATATTTTTACATATATACATGATTGATACTAGAAATTCATATGACGACTAGTAGTCAAACTTGCCGGTTCCATCTCCATGCCCTACACTAATAACGTCATCAATGGCTCGCCGTCAAAGCGGCGAGTAGTTTATCACCTGCATATGCATCATCATCCACCACATAATTTTCACATCCATTGATTTCAGCCCCCCGAAAAATGCCATGGATATAATTATCCAAATCTCTTAGAAAACAAGACGAGTTTGGTCTAATTGGGGTTGGACATGCTAGGTTAGTAGGTGGGCAACGAAAAAAGGGACTGAGATGAGGAGAACTGAGAAGGAGGTGGATAAGGGAGGGGACGAAATTTGCACAGAGATGGAAAACACAGAGGAAAGAGAAAATGGAGGAGAGAAGAAAACAATAAAAAAATATTTAATAATTAATCAAAAAGCATTTGACGCTAGTGTCAAATTTGGCCGTAAGGGTGAGAGATGTCATTCCATATCATACCACGTCAAATTTGGCTTTTCGGTTGGAAATCATTGCTGCTATATTTTGTTACCGTTATTACTGATTTGAACATTTTGACATCTTATTTGGAAATGCTCTGAAAAGTCTGGTGATTTTGTTAGGTCGTGTGAATGACTGAGATTATTGATTTTCAATTTTCCAAGCAACTGTTACGCAAAAATATAATTTAAAATCCAAAAGAAGGAATCAATATCGATATTATCTTCAACTGAACCACTAATAAATGTAAGGTAAAAAAGATCTCATACAATTAGTAGTTGAGCTATTCAATACAAAGAGAATCACAACGTTAATTGATCACATCACATAGCCGAGGAAAACGCGGTACAAAAGCACTAAAAGCAATACATCTTCAAAATTAAAACAATTATTTACTGGAAAAATCATAAGAATTAATATGAAAGTATACTTGCTGATAATGAAGTTGGCAGTGATCTGTAGTCCAGGAATTCAGATATGTGATGATGTGGATGAGCTTGATGATGACAGTGCAGCACCGCCCTGATCTTGGCTCACCATAGAACCAATCTGAATGCGACTTAATCTAGACAAATGATGCTTTCACTATGTAGTAATTCTCATTTGATTACTGGGATGATTATTATCGAATGCGTCATGGCTTGGTCTTGCCTCACTTTCATAGAACCGAGCTAGACGTGGGTTAGAAAAATAAGGAGCACGATCCAAATCATGCACATTTTCCTTCATAGGTTTGTCCAGTACTAGACTAACCCCTGTTCTCTTCAATGTCTCAGAAAAATCAGATTCCGCAAAAATTATATCAACTTCAACTTTATCTCGACATTGCAAATAGAGCTTATCGTTCAATAATTGTCCCTGCCAAAGATAATTGTCTTCAGATATTAGATCCATCCAATATTCACTACTCATGTGGCCCGCAACTCCGTGTGCTTGGTATTATTTACGATAGTAATGGCAAGAAGAAGAGGACGACGACGATCAAATCTGTTGCCTGAGTGGTAAAAGTAGAATAGAGTTAGCCTTCAAAATTACGATCATCACTTGGGGGAATATTAAAACTGAGTTTATTGCCATCGTTGACAAACGCAAAACAATCAGGAATATAATTCCCATGGTGGGAAATACCACCAAATCCACAAGAAGTCCATCCCTATATATATACAATGCAAGTGTCATATGTATACGTACACATGTACATGTGCATTTTTGTGTGATAGGAAGGCAATGGAACAGAGAGATATACATATAGGATGTTTTTCCTGAAATTAGCTATGAGATTGGTGCACATTTGCATATTAATCCATGTCATGGAGTTTAACGACTTATCCAAGCCTGGAACCTGAGTGAGTTTGGTTGAATTACTTACTTTTTTGATTATTTTCAACTTCTCAAGGGACTGCTTCACAAACCAAATGAAAATTGAAATTAGTACCCAAAAGTAAGATCGAGAAGGAAATCCAAAAATAAATAGAAACAGAACATCATCATGTGTGATTGATTGTACCTTGGAACCCATCGCAAAACCTGTACCAGTTGGCTACCCTACATCTCCAAAACAACTAGTCTTAGTTGATTAAATAAGTCATCTGGTATGGACTTCAAACGGCATCCATTCCAGCACAACCATACTTAACTCTTTGGGAAGATGTTTGTATTTTCCATTGAGCTGTACGTAGCTGAGCTAAAACAACCTCAGTTTCTTCATATTGGCAAATGCTACGTACTGTACTGAAACCAGCCTGTTAGATGCTTTGATATAGAGCAACTCCTTCAACTTCTTTAGCTCCCTGTTAACAAAAGGTTATATTGAGTAAGAAAAGGATTTTGTTTGCATATGATAACGTGATTTTGCTTAATTGAGCTTTCATTTTACAACTAAATATACACATGAATGTTGTTTAATGACGTATAATAGACATATACTGCATTAATCCAAAATTTTATCGGAAAATGTACTTATTTCGCAATACATCGGTGACCTCATGAATGTTCCAAAACCTACTACATCTTTCCGCATGATTAGGAAATTTTTCAGAAATGATTACTCTGGTCATTTCTCTAAGCAAATCATGCATATTGATCAACTTGTTGTGTTCAACAGTTACAAGACATCGCTCACGAAGGACACCGATTCCTATTGTTGCAAAAAAATCACTAACCATATACACTTTTGTGACATATATCTTGTTTCTTTATTGGATTATAGCCTTCTGTGTGTCATCTAGTTATTTTACTGGTTTTATTATTTTTTTCAACAGGAGTTCTTTTCAATTTCTTCAATTCACTTTTCTACTCTGCTATGGTTCTTTTAAACAAAAAAGAGCCTAAAACTTCAAGTACTGGTGACAAACTTCCATAGTAAGAAACAACCATTTTAAGAGTTGAAGATATCCGTCATTAGACCAACTATTTCCAAATGCATGCCAACTAAAGAGCTCCAGAGCTTCTCCTTTAATCAATTTCTGAGCCAAATATATGTCTTGTCAAGTGGCGTTAGTAAATGTACATATCGTGTCGTTATAATAATTCTACTTCCTGGATCAAACCAATCATGATTTCCTGCTATTGCATTGATTTGTTCCACTCCATCTATACTATCAATGATGACAAGTACCCTTCTACGTCAAAATTTTTGTTTTATCAGACTGATACCTTCATCAACACTGCTTATTTGAGATAACATTTGCGTTTTGTCAGATAACATCTGCTTCGCGCCCTGAAAGTTGAATTCGTATATCAGTACATGCTGCTGCTGGCACTGGACGTGAAGAAACAGACATACCGCCGGCCAGGAAGGAAAGGACAGAGACCATCCAATAGATTATAACAATGAACTGTTGGCGGAGAGGTCCAAGTCTGTTGGAAGATAAAAGAATATTTCCGAGTTCTTTCTTCTCACTTCTGAAAAATATCTCTAAAACTAAAGAAAACAATGGCAAAATCTCTCGTCGTCTTCTCTCTCCTCTTCCTCCTCCTCCTCCTCCTCATCTCCCCCCTAACCGCTGACCCGAACATCCCGAACCCAAAACCGAGCCCATCTCCGGCCCACACCGACCTCACCAACTACGGCTTCCCAATCGGCCTCCTCCCCAGCGCCGTCAAGAACTACACCATCAACCGCACCACCGGCGACTTCATCGTCGAACTCGGCGGCGCGTGCAAGGTCACCCTCCCTTCCGACAACGTGGCCACCTACTCGAAGAAAATCACCGGAAAGATCGTCGTGGGCAAAATCACCAAGATCAATGGCATCAGCGTCCGGGCCTTGTTCCGGTGGCAGCCGATCACCGGAATCCGGTCGAGCGGCGACAACTTGGTGTTCGAGATCGGCACGGTCTCCGTCAAGTACCCCACTAAGAACTTCGATGAGAGTCCCGCTTGCGAGGGCCGCCACTCCTCTTAGCAGGTTTCAATTTAAATTTAGAGAAAGTTTGAAATAGATCCAATTTTATAGACTATTTTTGAAAATAGGTTTAATTTTTAGTGATTTTTGAAATAGATTCAATTTTTAGTTACTTTGGACTCGTATGAAAAGACATCTTTAATTTAATTCAATTTTCAGGAGTTTTAATAAAAAAGAGCTTGGCTAAATTTATTTTAATAAAAAAATTGTTTGTAATTTTATTGAAAATGACTTATATTTTAATTAAAAGGACAAAATTTAATATAATAATAAAAAAGTATTATAAAAACTAACACGTGCGAGTCCATCAGACCCACTACACATTATTTTTAAAACTGAACGGTAGTACACTATTTTTAAAATGAAATGATATTACACTATTTCTAAAAACTGAACACTAATTATTTCTAAAGCTAAATGCGAGTACTACACTATTTCTGAAACTGAACACGGGTACTACATCATTCCTGAAACTAGACAAGACACTATTTCTAAAACTAAATACAAGTTGGCCTGCAATGAATATTTCTTAAAGTGAATATGGTACATCTCTAGTAAGTTTAACAATCATTATTCTCTCTCATCTTCTTGCATTTTCTCGGAACATTCTCACCTTACAAACACATTTTCTTTTTCTAATTTTCTTTGAATATCTTCAATTTTTGAGCTTTCTACACTAATTACCTTATTTTTTTTCTATTATTTGCACATCTGCGACTTCCTCTTCTCCTCCACCTACAGTCTCACCTTCTTTCACTGCAAAATAAAATAATAACGCAAATCAAATCAATAATTCGAATACAAAAATATCCATCAAACTACAAATTTGTTAAAGGTTAAAGCCCAGGAAAGTAAAGATATTGATGGCTTAATTTCAAGCTGCTCAACATTGGAAAAATTAACCAACGAAGAAAACCCATACGCAAATGTACATACATGCAGATCTAATATTTACAATATGTAATTGTTATAGACGAAGATTAATTAATAATTATATATGTAGTTAAATGCAGCCAACTTTGAAACCTTGTGGTCACGCAAAAGGCCATTACCACTAGAGTCAAGCTGGCACGAGTCATCGTAATCACGCAGACCTGCAACGGTACCTTCCCCTCTGGCCAATCTTCTGTGCAACTCTTTGAAACTCATGCCTTATAAATCTACGGAACCTACCTCATTTCGTTAGGGCCATTGATCAATATAATATATAATAGCAGTACTACATTGTGAGAGAGAAAGAGGAGGGAGAGAGACGTTGTAGAGATAATAGTTGATGGAGGAGGAGATGAAGAATGATGAGGCGGTGGTGAAGCATTGCTTGCGCTTTTCTTAGGTTTTGTTTTTGTTTTGGTTTTTTTCTTAACCTGTCTTTATTATTAAATGAAGTTATAGGATGATTTTTTATTAAAATTCAAAGTCTTAGAACCATTTTCATTAGTTTTCATTTTTTTTTTTTTAAGGGAATTGGTTAATTTGGGAGCTAGGGTTTTGAATTTGTGATTTTTCTGATTTGTATATATGCATGGATTGCAATTGGTGTGTGTAGCTATCAGCTGGAGTGCTTTTGATTTGTGGTTGTTGAATTGAAAGCTATTAGATTTTGATGACTTTACTTGCTTTAAACTAAAGGAATCGAATCTATGCTAATATTTACAGAAACACTGTGAATCTGAATATTCTCTTTAGCTTGAATAGTTGCCGAACCTATCCCGAAATCGGATTGTTCCTAAGAGTTCTGAAAGGGTAATACTTGTTAAACCGGATTGTTCTTAAGAATTCTGAAAGGGGAATTAATTGTTATTGAAGAACATTTGATCTTTAGAATCTTGGCTTGGTTTGGGCTCGTAAAGTCAGCGTCCGGCTAAGATGCCAATTGTTGAAGACCCTTTGATTGGGACATATGAAATACATGCATCAGATCAGTTTCGTTTGCTTTTTCTTAAAAACTGATCGGCTCCGTTTGATAGAAATGATTGACTTGGATAAGACTATTCACTATATTAAAAGTTTTTTATTTTGTTTAAGTTGAAGGTTACTCATGAAAAATAGTTGTCCCTTTTAATCCTACCATTTTTATGGAGATTAGTAGGTATATCTTTTCTTCATGAGTATCATTCAACTAGGAGAAAATGAGAAATTTGTCATCAATTTCATCATTTAAAATACCTTAAATATAGTATTAGTTTTATCCAAGCCAATCCTCTCTATTAGATGAGGCCATAGGGATCTTAGGTGTCCTTTTGATTCTTTGCTTTTTACCTATTGAGCAGTTCATCACCAATATATTGGATCAAATATTTAAAGTAGTAGATTCCCAACTTTGTGGAGTAATAACATAAGTGACCTCAGAAATGGTGGAACTTTTGTGAATACCGCATTTAACATGTTTCATATTTGTTAGTAAATTGACGTCAAAACTTTCTTTTTGTTCGTTATTCCCACTTTGCAGGTCCCTAGTTGCGATGCCTCTCATATGCGAGTCGTGACGAATGACGATGCCCGGTTGCCGACTCAAGTCGAAGACCGATGCTATCTAAGCAAATTATTATTTTTTTTCTTTTGTCAAATGATAGATTTTGTTAGATTAGCCACTGATGAGATTAAATCCACGTCGTCATGCCATGCTTCAACATCTTACTTAATTTAAGCAAATTAAACTAGTTACAAAGACTTGTATGAACCGAACAATGAAAAGGGCAATAAGCGATCCTTCTGTCTTGTATGTGTACGGTATATATGCCACAGCGTGCAATGTTGCAACTTTCTTTCGTTTGATCAGGAGTGTTAAGATGGCCAGGAATATTAATTAATTTATCTTAACATTAGTTTCAATATCTCATCATTTGTTTATGGACAGAGATTCAGACATGATCTTTTTCCTCTGTTTATTGCCTTGTGGGTTTGAGGGATGGGCATGATTAGTATTTTAATAAGATTCTTAGTGCTTGTACTTAATCATCCACCTCTTTTTTCACTGGCTTAATCATGTTGGATAAATATCAACAATTAATGATAAATTTATATATACTAATAAATAATAAATGCAAATAAATAATTTAACAGAGTATGACAAAACGAAATAATATTCAACAGACAAATTGAAGATCGAGGCTTACGTACCGCAATGTTCTTGAAATAAAAATTTCGTCCCTACTCAGTGCTTGTAGTTTTACAAACGTCTGTTTCACCAAGATTCAATGATCTAAGTCAGAATTATAGCATTGGATAACTTGGCTTCTAGCGAATTTCTTTGTGGTTAATGTTTGCAATTGTAGAAGAAGAATTTTATTTTTTTGTGTTCTAAATGTCATGCAGATAGATGTATATATAATAGATTTATGCATGTGTGCAACAGGTATGTGAATGAGATGCGTCTATTGGGAGACATCTTCTCAGAGGGGTGCTTTGCTCTCTGGCATTCTTTTATCACTTCAGACTTTATTTGAAAAGATGAGTATGTTGATATAAAAATTAATTAATTAATTAAATTCAAAATTAAAAATAATTAATTAAAGAATTTAATTATTAGAGCCCGAGCCCCAACGCCAAAGGCGCATCTTTTGATAATTAATTAATTATTAATGATATATTAATTATCAATTATTTAATACAACTCAAAGTTGAGCCTAATTTTACTCTTCATGGTCTATCACTCCAATCACTTTCTATAAGGGGTAAGAAAACATTTTGGTAGTGATCAATGTGGAATAATGAAATTCTACTCAAAATTTCCAACAAATCATCCGCATTGAAAATGATTTAGGGCTCGTTTGAAATTGTTTTCAAAATAGTTGAAAACGTTTTTTGTGAAAATGTTTTTGGAACCAATCTTCCGTAAAAATGCAAATGAATCCTGTAAAAGTACTTGAAATGCGTCCTACAAGAAGCTCATAGCTGGTGCTTCTTGCAAGAAGAATTTTAAGTGTTTTTGTAACCCATAATCATTTTCTCTAAGAATGTTTGTAGTCATTTTAAAAACACTTCCAAACAACCCCTTAACTGATGTAATTGTATTTTGGGGGTCATAAATACGAATAACTATTTTCATATCATTCCAATGATGAAGACTTAAATGGAATGGGAACACTATAACCACCGTGACGTCTACAACTCTCATTTGGGTTGAGAGAACTCCTTTATTAGGCATCTCTCGCACCAAATGAGACCAATATGGAGTTTGGTGTAACCACGGTTGGGATCAAGTATTATTGGCTGAGAACGTTACAATGACGGTGTACTTGTTACGTGTAAAGTGTGTTTTGAGATATTACAAGTGACTTTATTAAAAGTTTTGGTGGGTGATATCCATAAGTAGCTTCTGTTTTTGGTGAGGTTTAATATGCGTAATGCATCCATGCTCTCTCACTTAAAGGCAATCGTCCTTGTCGTTCTGACAACTGTGATTACTTGTGCCGTGTGTGTTCTCAACTACTTTGCAGCCATGGCCACAAACAAAGCAATTAATTGGTTTTGGTATGTACAACTCACAATACATCTTGCCGGCCATTCAATTTTGGTCCTACTGTCAATCATGTTTCTTGGTTCCGGTAGCTAGAGACCCGGCATTTACCCGTGCAGATGCTTCCGGGCATGCGCTGAGAACTTTGGTGGTGACCTTTCCGCTCTTTTCCCATGTGTGACAGACATTGTGAAGTTAAAACCTGTATCAATGTTGTCTGTTACTCATCGCATCGCATTGGCAGGAAAGTTCCCATTGGAATTCTTATCCAAGCATGATTGGCAAATTGACCATGGACGCTTTGACCGAAATAGGGGAAAACCTTGGGTCACGCCACTCTGATCATGTTATTTGTAATTTTGTACGTAGGACACTTTTATTAAAGTATGACTGACCCCGATCGAACACATCGATCTCGCTCAATATGAGAAATAACCTAGAAAAGCAACCATTTTTGTCTTTGGGTACCTTTATTTGACAAATTCAATCCCTCTTTCCTTTTCTCAGAAACCAAACAATGGGTGGCAACAAAAAGTCCACATTTTGGTCTAAAATTTCATAACTTGTAGGGTTGATGAACAACAAAAGCAGATAGACAAAAGAAAGACAAAAGTTTCCAATGAAATTCTGAGTCCATTGTACCCTCCCATCTCACCATGAAATAAATTAAAATAAAGACTTGTCATCTCCAACAACTCAAATCACCCACCTACCAAGAAAGTTTTCGGTGTATTTAGAACATAAACCAGTACGCTTTGTGATATAATACAAGTAGATGGGCAGTGAAATAGATGACAAATAGAGATTTTTTTCGTGTACTTGAAACACGGCCCCCGCAAACTACATATCATAATATAAGTGTATAGATACTTGAAAAAAAAAAAAAAAAACCTTCACTCCACGTATATTATGAGCTCATTTGAAAATGCTTTTAAAATAACTCAAAGTGCTTTAAGAAAAATGTTTTTGAATTCTAAAAGCACTTAAAGTTTTGTTCAAAATTCATTTTCATTTTTGCTAAGGATTGAAACCCAAAACCATTTTTGCAAAAAACCTATTTCAGTAGTTTTAAAAGTACTTCTAAATAAGTCTTGTACATGCAATGTAGAAGTCTTGTGCCAATTATGTAGAACATCTCTCGATAAAAGAAATACTGACTTGTATTCCATGTACATGAAAAAAGATTCTCTCCCACCAAACCGATTACCCAACCCATAACCCCCACAAGGACGGTTGAGGGATTTCAGCACAAAAGTGCTTCTGCTGTTGCACACTGTACACGAAAAAGCACAAGAAGGACTCAAAAGTAATAATAAAAAAAAAAAAATGAAAAAGTACACCAAAACTACGATTTGACGTGTATCTTCGGCTGACCGTTTCTTTTCTTTGCATTGAACTTTCAAGATTCTTTAGCCACGTGTAAATCCTATGATTTTGGTTCAAACAACCATGACTATTGACTTAATTTCATTAATCATGATTGATTCTTCTGTTCAAAAGTCATGTGTGAATTTAGGGTTTGATAAATTGATATGATTCGTCAGTCAACTGTTTCGAAACAAGTTGAGTTTTACCAAATAATTTGATCAACGATTGAGATTCGATTGTTGCTAAAAGTTGCAATAGAGTCGTATTCGAAGTACTTATTTGTATTAATGTATTTGTGTCGTGTTTTTATAAAGCAACAAGTTGGTCAACAAATAAATCAATACAATAACTAGGAATGTATGCATTTGGTATAGAAGGCCTACCTTCTACGATTTGTATGCATAAACCTTTAAGTAAACGTCGTGTTCAAAATTGCTACCTCTAATTGTCATGGTACTTATTTGTATTAATGTATCCACGTTGTGTTCCTGACAATCCATAAATTGGTTAACAAACAAATCGAGACAATAATTTATACGATTCACTAAAATACAAGAAAATTATTACGATTTAATATATGTGAATGATGTTAATCAAATTTAATTGGTAGCTAATAGTTCACCTATCAAGGGCAACATTCGTACAAATTTTAAGTCATCCGTGTCAAAAATTGCCAACCCTAGCTATGAAAAGATTTTTAATTTGGTTGAAAAATGAACTATCTGATATATTATTATACAAGTGAGAGTTTTTTTTTTTTTTTTTTTTTTTTTCGAATGTCAATTTTTTCCAGCAAGCCCTGATGACCAAATAATAAAATATTAAAAGGAAAATTAAACAATATGGATAATGCACACTCACGCGCCTATAAAGCACATACTACCGCACCGACCAATCACATCGCCGCGCAGTGCTCCTTGTACTTTTTCTGCGCGGCAGAACCAACCCCGCTACCGCGTCCGCCACGCGACTATCCCGTGCGTGTTTCCCCCCAGCGCCTCTTCTCCAAAACTTGAACAACTCGTACAAGCTGCTTCTCTCACAAAATCAGCTAACAACGGAGTCTCTCTCTCCTCGCTTTCTCTCTCTGCCTGATTCTCTGCTCCGCGAAAGCAAATTCTTCGGCCGGGGAGCGCCAAAAACCCTAGGGTTCCGCCCCCATTCTCCGCCAGGTCCGTCTCTCAATCCGCTGCCGTTTTGCTTCTATATTTTCCCTTGAATTTTTCCGATTTGTTACGTCTCTCCAAGCGCAGATCCATATTTCTGCTTTCGGTTTTCTGCGTTTTCTTGTTAGCCATTTTTCGTTTGCTTGAAAATTTCTAATCTTTATTTATAATATCATTCATTTTAATCTAATTATTTCGTTGTTTTTCTAAATTAAAATGCTTTGATTTATTTAAATTCGTACAATGTGCATGCCAAAGATTTATTGGGTTAGCTTGTTACATCAATTTTATGTATGCATTATATATTTTTTAATTTTCTATAAAAATTACAATGAAAGTATATTTTGTAGTTGCATGGTTGGTAGCTAGCTTGTTTACAAAGCACATTTAGTTCTTTTAAGTAATGGGAAATTAATTTTGTTTTAAATTTTTGTTGCATCTAGTTTTAGCTGCAAGTGTTGTTTGGTGCGGTTTTCGGGGTTTTTTTTGCTTAATCTACTAGCTACATTATGCCTACGGATGAACTTGTATGAACCCTTCAACCCTTCAATTGTTTTGTTCATGTTTTTATACCAATTAATTGTTGCAGGGAGGTCGGATATCATACAACTATTGCATAATATGGAATTAGAAGATAAATTTGTTGGTAAAGGTACGATCTTTGTCTTTCGGGTGCATTTCTTTTAGCGAAGTCTGAAGTTTTATCCATGATGGTTTCAGGATGAACGTTTTTATCCATGGTAGCCTAGTGATATGTTGGATATAACCAAACGATATTGAACACGCTCATCGCTGCTACATTTGTGACTTTTTATTCCCAGACACTTGGGTTGTTTTGATGTTATTTTTGTTTCTTCTTCCTTTTTATATGCAAATCGTTATTCTTGTTTAAACATATGTTGAATTGCATCTTGAAGTGTTGCACTTTTCCTATTCAGAAATAATGTTTGTGCAGATGTAGTGATGTACATCTGACACCCTATGAAACGTACCAGCTGAATTTTTGATTTCTTGCTTAAGGGTCGCTAGGGAAGGACAGATTCAGGTCAGATTTCTCGGACAATTGCATAGAGCTATTGTTGTGAAGTGGGGGTAGATGTTCATTTCCTACAATATGTGAGATGATATTTTGACTTACATTATCGTCGATGGAGGGATTGTTGATAGTATGTTGAGTTAATAGATTAGGAAGGTAAGACAAGGAATGAGGCCCAAGAGGAGATGTAGTGTTTTGGATATTGCTGGGGATATAAACAGAAATAAGCAAAAGACCGACTGAGATATTGGAATGCACAGATCTAGTTACCACAAAAAGATAAATTTGCAAATAAAATGTTTTATGCGGTGAAGAGAAATGAGAAGGATAAAACGGAATTTCACCACTCGATCTCGAGAGCTTCTTTTTCTACAGTTTCTTGCTAACATTTTTCCTCATTCTCTTATCCCATTCTTATTATTGTGTTGTAGACTTGTAGTTCATTGTTGCTTTGATATATCATATATGTGCCTAAATTTCGTTTTCCTTTTGTCATTTTTTCCCACTATCCAGTTTCTGGTGTTCAGAGCCTCTCCTCCAGTGTGCAAAGCACTCCTGAGAAGAATGGGCATTCAGACGATGCTTCACGAAGCCCAGAGCTTCTTCAAGAGTTCATGAAATTGGGTCCCAAGAAGGAACTCCTTCGAACTTGCTTTGAAAAGGACAAGAAAAACTTGAATTCATCAAAAAATAAAATGACTGAACCTTTGAAGACTTCAAAGACAAGTAAGAAGCAGGATTCAAAGAAAGCTTCTTCTAGTCCAAATAATCTTCCTAAAAAGCAAGCCAGAAAGGGGGAAAATCCTATGCGTCTCTCATCAGCTTCTGATCAGTCTCCAGACTTTGGATCTTCAAGCTCATGGATCTGTAAAAACTCTGCTTGTAGAGCTGTTCTATCCATAGATGACACCTTTTGCAGGAGGTGCTCTTGCAGTATCTGTCATTTGTTTGATGACAACAAGGACCCTAGTCTTTGGTTAGTGTGCACATCTGAATCTGGTGGCGGAGATTCCTGTGGGTTGTCTTGTCACATCGAGTGCGCCCTTCAACATGCAAAGGCAGGAGTTGTTGATCTTGGGCAATTGATGCAGCTAGATGGTAGTTACTGTTGCGCTACTTGTGGTAAAGTTTCTGGGATACTTGGGTAAGTAATTCTCTCTTATTGTTAGTTTAGGTTGAAATGGCAATGCTTAATTTGACAAGGGCTATCATTTGTCATCTTTCTCAAGCCCCACTAGTCCTTATATTTTGGTGTTCTGTATAAACCTTTTGGTTATCGGGTTAAACATTTCCAACTCATATTGGCTTGTGATAGATAAGTTAAAATACTAGGGAGTAATGCATGTAGACTTCCGTATTGTTTCTAATAGGTTTCTAGCCTTGGGCTGATGTTACTGGTGTCATTTGATTAATACTAGCAGAAGTTGGAAGAAGCAGCTCATTGTGGCAAAGGATGCTCGCCGTGTTGACGTACTATGTTATAGGATATACTTGAGTTACAGACTCCTGGATGGGACTTCAAGATTTAAAGAACTACATGAGATTGTGAAGGAAGCAAAGTCTAAACTAGAGAGAGAAGTTGGCCCAGTAAATGGCGTTTCTGCAAAGATGGCACGAGGGATAGTAAGTAGACTATCAATTGCTGGTGACGTGCTGAAACTCTGCTCTCTTGCAATTGAGAAAGCAGATGAATGGCTGGCCAAAGTTTCTAATGCGAATCCAAATTGCCGAGGTAGGAAACTGTACCACTTGGTCTATTTTCTCCTTCTACTTCCCGTTGTTTATGCATGGAAAACTTGAATGATTACTTATTTTTTCTGTCCCTCATTTGCAGAGGGTTCACTTCCTGCAGCTTGCAAGTTTCTTTTTCAAGAAGTGGCATCATCCTCTGTTGTGATTATATTGATTGAATTGTCTAATGCATCATCTGACAATATTAAGGGCTACAAGCTCTGGTATTACAAGAACGGAGAAGAATTGCACGCAAAAGAGCCTACTTGTATCTTTCCAAGATCTCAGAGAAGGATTTTGATATCCAATCTGCAGCCTTGCACAGAGTATACGTTTAGGATAATATCTTATACGGAGGCTGGTGACTTGGGCCACTCAGAGGCCAAGTGTTTCACCAAGAGTGTTGAGATAATTCGTAGAAACCCCATTTCACCGGTTTCCGGGAATCCTAAGAAGGAGAAACCGATCATCGAACCAAATTCTAGTGGCAAGAGAGAATCTGAAACTACAACAGCAGTTGGTCCAACTTCCGAGTTTAAAGTTAGAGATCTTGGGAAGGTACTTCGTATGGCTTGGGGTCAAGAGCAAGGCAACTCTGAGGCGTTCTGTAGTGCCAATAAGGAAACATGCTGCGGAGTAAGCAGCACACTAAAAACTGAAACGCCACAAGAACCATTGCCTTCTGTTTTGCACAGGCTTGACTTAAATGTTGCTTCAGTACCCGATCTAAATGAAGAGCTAACCCCACCATTTGAATCCTCCAGAGATGAAGACAATGGATGCACTTTGCAGCGTGCTGTTGAAGCAGATGATGATGCTGCCTCTCATGACCTAGTGAAGAATGGTTTGGCAAGATCACATGGTAGTGGTGATTCGCAGACCTGGACTCATGGTCTTAATGGAGATGTCCCAGCTGTTGATTCCCGGGTAGAAGTTGGCAGGAAGAGGGGAGCAAACACAAACGAAGAGATCTATGATTGTGACAGCACACTAATAAATGGGCCACCATTGCTTATTTCTAATGGTTCATATTGCTTGGACGAGAACTTTGAGTACTGTGTGAAAATAATCCGATGGCTGGAATGTGAGCGTCACATTACACAGGAATTCAGGTTGAAATTGCTAACATGGTTTAGTTTGAGATCGACTGAGCAGGAACGTAGGGTGGTCAATACCTTTATTCAGACTATGATCGATGATCCAAGTAGCTTGGCAGGACAGTTAGTTGACTCATTTTCAGATATCGTATCCAACAAGAGGCCACGGAATGGATTCTGTAGTAAGCTGTGGCATTAAACAAGGGAGGGCCGAGGCAAGGCCTTGCATTCTGATAAGATATCGCTTCACATTGAATTTATATTTGTCCTGAGATAAGTAGCCTCTCATTAATTTTGCCAGTCTTTGTACAGGCATTTTTTCTTTAGTCATTGTCACAAGTGATTTAATTCGTACCGCGGACAAGATTTGTCCGGCTCATTGATCTGGAAGACACTGATTTTTCGTGGGAAGGAGATGCTCAGATGCACAAGGTTTCTGGCCGTAGGTCGCGTTTCGTTCCCTACGTTATCGTATTTACATTTGAAGCTGTAGAATTTAATCATTGAGGATATAGTTATAATTTCTGCTGTCATTGCCTTCATAAAATTCAAAGAGGGCTACATGAATTTAGCATTTTCCTTCTCGGTGGTAATTTCTTACATTTTTATTCTTTTATTCTATCTTCACCTTTTTATTCCATGATGTGGTATTTGGAAAATTAATGTGGTTTTTGATTCTTGCCTTGCAAGTAAGGTAAGACAGGGAGATGGAAATTGGGAATGGATGTGGCAATGGAAATTTTTTATTTATTTTTAATGAAATTGATGCTCAATTTTCAGAATAAAACATTTTAATTTTCGTGGAGTACGAAAATCATTTAACTAAGGATATAAAAGGGTGGGCAAGAGGCTTACTCGGTTTATTAAGAGTATTCCCCTGGAAGAAAAAAAATCTACTGCATCGTATATATTTTTATCTTAGTTCTTACAGAATGTGTATATAATGTGTGATTGTGCAACCATGTGCCCATATCTCTTATCACGTGAAGAATCTCTCTTGCACCCGCGGTACTTTTCGACTTTCTTAATATCACTTGCATCGGAGAAAAGAAGGGAAATTAAAAAGATGGTAGATAAATTATGGAGAATCGGATGTAAAATGGCATGTAGTAGTAGTTCATTTGAAAACGTCACATCGTTTATAGTTCTAGGAACCAGATTGGTGCCAAGTCAGCAAACAAGGCAATCAGATTACATTTACAGACACACAGATGACTCAAATTTTTGAAACATGAGGTTCACACTTCACTCACAGAAGACACTCATCATCACTTCCTCTTTCTCTCTCATCACCTCCTCACTTTCTTAATCTCTTTCTCTCTCTAAAACAAAAAACATGCAAATTCTTCATGTTCCTTCGTCGCTATATCTCTCATTCAAAACGTAAAATCACATGAAGATGCAGATGAGTTGAAGACAGACGATATTTTATGTACTACTCTAATTTGCGCGAGTGGATTCAAACTTTTGTGAGGGGACGGACACACTAGCGTGACCAACTGGCCTAATCCACGTCTACATTACTTGTTTTGCTCAAGTTGGAGCACTGACCTTGCTTTGCTTTCGTGATTTGTTGCGGGATTAATATCTTCGTATGAGAAGCCTCTTCAATCATCAACGGTTGTATTTTGTTCGCTTCAGCAACAAAGACATGAAAGGTCCAAATGGGTTCATCCCAGAGGCTCTGTATTGAGCTCCTTTACTACTAAAGCTGCTTCTTTGGAAGGTAAAAGCACTTTCTCTCCCTACCTTCTTTTTCAGTAAACTCAGCAAGCAGCTTAAATATAAGTGCCTCTAGACTAGATTGCACAATTCACTTTATTAGTATGGAAATGGCATGTGTTAGTATTTTCTGAGGATGTCGAGAGTTGTCCCATATCGGAAAGTTAAGTACCTTGCATACGCATATAAGGGGTTCAGCTACTTCCTGTTGCTAGTTGGTTTTATTGTGAAATCTCAACTTCGAGATTTAGAGCTCTTTAGAGACATATATAGTGAAAGCAAGAAAATTTATGAAAAACACTACACAGGAATTTATCTTTTGAAATATATAGCAGTTGAATTTATGAGTAATAATTTTGGGATTTTTTTTTTTTCAAAAAAAATCAGTATATTCATCTAATGATATTGCTTTCTATCTATTTTACGTTTTCCAATTCCTTTTGTTCAGATGCAGTTGGTGCTGATGAAATTTTGAAGGCGGAAGCTGAGAAAGATGTACTCAAAGCATTGTCTCAGATCATCGATCCAGACTTTGGGGCGGACATTGTCTCGTGTGGATTTGTGAAAGATCTGGACATCAATGATGCTTCGGGAGAGGTCTTTTGGAGCGTCTATGGGAAATTTTTCAGTGACAGAAGTATAGAGCATAATGTCCTTACCAAAACATATTGACCTTTTTGTCTCAGGTTTCATTTCGGTTAGAGCTCACTACACCAGCATGTCCAATAAAGGACATGGTAATTAACACAATCACCGTTGTTCATATGTTTGATATCGTAGATTTGATTCATAATTCCACTTGATATTCCCTACTAATGGTGTTATGTGACGTTCGGCGTATTATTTCTTTTGATTCCTTCCTTTTCCTTTTCATAAATTATATCTCATTGAAAGATGCAAGTGTTGCCATCAGTTCCATTATTTCGATCTTCTATGATCAATGGCAAAAATTAATTTATTATGCTTTTTTAGTAGCATTTTAGGAACCAGCAAACATAACAAGCTTCGTTTGTGTTACAGTTTGAACAACAGGCAAATGAGGTGGTGAACGCTCTTCCTTGGGTCAAAAATGTCAGTGTGACTATGTCAGCACAGCCAGCGAAACCAATTTATGCCGGGCAACTTCCGTCAGGGTTACAGGCGATTTCAAATATTATAGCAGTTTCTGGTTGCAAAGTAGACTCTGCACTTCCTTTCAGGTTCTTTTCTGTTGCCGGTACGTGGCCTTTGCGCTCTTCATGGTTCAGACCATTTCTTCATGTTTGATTTTGTAACACTTCCGTTGGAGCCATATCTTTTAGCCTGAATTCTGTCTCTTCTAGTTGTATTATACTCGGGAGCATTGCTCTTTGTGGTTCTGTTCAATTCTTACTTTCATATTAAAAAAAGTTGCCATTTTCCTCAGGCTTCCAGTGCTAAGAAAGTCGCGATTCTTAGGATTTGTTTTCCTTGAAAGGAAAAGCTATATTTACAACCCTGTAATTTAAGAAAAATGTATATGAAATCGAAACAGGCAACCTACATTTGGCAGGGAGTTCCCACCATTAGTGTATACCCTATACCGCTAATTCTGTACTGTTTTTTTTTGCTGTTTGTAAATGTGTGCAGGGAGGTGTGGGAAAATCAACTGTAGCGGTAAACTTGGCATACACTTTGGCTGGCATGGGTGCTAGAGTTGGTATATTTGATGCTGACGTCTATGGTCCAAGTTTACCGACAATGGTCTCCCCTGAGAACCGAATACTAGTGATGGTAATATAAACAAATTTAGCACAATTTTCTCATAATTAGTAAGGTGCTGCAATTCTGACAGTTCCAAAACTTCCTCTAGAACCCAGAGAAGAAAACCATAATTCCTACCGAGTACTTGGGAGTGAAATTGGTGTCGTTGGGATTTGCCGGGCAAGGGCGCGCTATAACGCGAGGCCCTATGGTTTCTGGGGTCGTCAACCAACTTCTAACTACAAGTGAGTAGTATGGAATTCTTTTTGGCACAAAACTCTGCCATTAATGTTAAGTATGGTTCTGGTCATATCATCATCTAATCCGATTATTTCACAAGGTAGGTGAGAGCTGGATTACCTTGTTATTGACATGCCTCCAGGAACTGGTGATATTCAGCTTACTTTGTGCCAGGTCCTGCTTTTTTGTCTCAGTTACTATCATTCTGTAGTTAGTATCTTATGACGTATGTTTATGTGGATATTCTGCGTGAATATTTTTTACTTCAAGGTTTTCTACGTTTTGATACAGAAAAAATTGGGTTTTCAGGTTGTTCCATTAACCGCTGCCGTTATTGTTACCACCCCTGAAAAGCTAGCTTTTATCGATGTTGCAAAAGGAGTTCGTATGTTTTCCAAGCTTAAGGTGTGCATTTCCGTCACACAATCATCCATTACTGCAAAGTACTTCCCGATACCATGTAACCAATAATCTATTCTAATTCGTTTCAAAAGGATGAAGGTGGGATTATTTCTTCATTTATAGTGATATATTGATGCTGATTTCATCGACTACCTTCTTCTCTAAACGTTCGTGCTTTCGTTTCAAGCATTCAGGTGCCGTGTGTTGCTGTAGTAGAGAATGTGAGCCATTTTGAAGCTGATGGGAAACGCTATTATATCCATTTGGTAAAGGATCAGGCTCACAGGCAAGCTCACTATTGAAGAATTCACTGTCTTTCTCCATAGAATATCTGAATAATCTCAGTGCAGGAAATTTGTGCGCTACCAGTAAAACTTTATATGCAAGCATATGTATTTGATATAGTTTGATCCACATGTTTGCAGGTTGTCCAGCAGGTCGGTATCCCGAATCTGTTTGATCTTCCCATTAGACCAACTGTAAGTCCTATCTCTTCCGTTGATGTTCGATATGTCCTGCGCAGGAACCTATTTTAAATTTTGATAGCATTTGTCTGGCAGCTATCTGCTTCCGGAGATAGTGGAACGCCCGAAGTGGTAGCTGATCCTCTAGGTGAAGTTTCGAAGACATTTCAGGGTCTCGGAATATGTGTTGTGCAACAGTGTGCTAAGATTCGCCAACAAGGTATCCTATCAAAAACTTAATAGAAGGTTATCATACTTCCAAAATTTCAAATCAAAATGTCGTGATGATTGTGTTTCGCAAAAGTTTAGAGGCTTAAATTTACTCACTGTTCGAACATATTTTTGAGTTTGTTATTTTTTCATTAGTTTCAACAGCTGTGATGTATGATAAATCTATCAGGGCTATACGAGTGAAGGTACGGGATTCAGATGAAGAATTTCTTCTTCATCCTGCAACTATGAGACGGAATGACCTGCTCTGCCCAAAGTGTGGTATGAGGAGACTTATTGCTGCTAGATAATATGCAGAATACGTGACATTCACCCTTCAATTCAATGTTATTGTCATTCCACATCAGCGATAACGATGTTCTAAAACACGAGGAAGGACTAATCTGGCTATCAAATTATTACATAACTTTAATAAAGTCGATTAATTAATCTAGATTCGAAGTTGAAAATTGAAATACATGTGACAAAGACTTTGAAGACACTAAATTGATGGGGAAAGTAGAAGTGACCGGATTCTTTGTAGGACCTATTGAAGAAAGGCCCCGAAAATCTTCCTTTAGCGTTGAGTTTTGTTTATTGATGTCATAAGTTCCAAATAATCTACATGCCTGACTTAATCTTTCGTCCTTCGAATTTTGAGTTGCTAAATTTGTGCAGGATGAGTGGACAGTAGAGCAAAAGTTGCAGTTTGCTGATGTTCCGGAAGATGTAGAACGTGAAGAGATTCGTCCAATGGGAAACTATGCTGAGTCAATAAAGTGGCCAGACGGATTTAGTCAGGTAAAAAACATTTTGTTT